TACGGAAAAACTTTTAAACTGAAGGGCTGCCTGTTGCTAAGAGATGTCAGACAGATGGAGATGTGCAGAGAAGATTACACAGGCGTTTATACAACCATGTTCCGCCCATGTGAGCTCCACGGAGAGATAGATGTTTGATTACAGTCTGCTCAAACAACTGTCGCCATGGGAACGGTCCAGATGTGGGAAAAATATAGTGGTCCATATTGGTATTTGTAAACAATAAGGATGGAACTGAAATGGGTACAATGAGCTAAGCAGACTTCTAAAAAGACACTTCTAAAAAGACGTCCCATTCAAATGTTTAGTGTCTGGTTAAATTAATTGACACCTTGATGATGTCATTGTGGTACATAGGTTTGTGAGGCAGACATAACATGACCTTGATGAGTAAAACACACCACTTACAGTATTTATTTAAAGCAGGTGCATTATTCAGGAGAGTTTAGGGCAGCAGACACATACTAATGCATGTCTGGAGCCTTTAGTGGTAAAGCAGTCTTGACCCAGACTCCTCTGGTTCAGGCTGGATAAGGTTAAATCCTATTTTAAAATCTTTTTATCCCTAGCACAGTTTCCGACAAAATAATAATAGTATCAAATACAGTATCTGTCATAGTTTCACATCAGGCAATTGGTTAAGAAAAGCTGAAAAATAATAAGTAACACTGAGTTTTAAGGTTCTAAAGAATTCCTCTATCTATGTAATGAATACACGAAGTTCCACCAAAAATGCATGGACGAAGTGTAAGGAATACATTTTCACATATTCATTTAAGTTGCCATAGGCCTGCATGTTGATTACTCAAATCAAACTATGGTAAATTAAACCAGCTTTGGCCTTTGTTTACAGTATAGTTTCTAGGTAACTGTTTCGGAATTACTTCCTACTTATTTCATATATGCTGCCTGTCCAAGCAGGAAGTAAAATAATAAACAAAAATTGTCTAAAAGTTTTAGCCAAAACAAACATATAATTATGTTAGTTTTTGTGAAATCTGTAGTCTACCAGTCATGGCCTTTAAACACACCAAGCTCCACTCTTTCAGTCAGTCAGTTCTGTGAACATCCAACAATGAATAATGAATCAAAATGACCTTACAAATGTCATCTGTTGTTCCATCACATAAAATATGATTCCAATTTTCAGCATGTTGTTTATGTATTTTGCATTCCCCTGGGAAGACACATTGACATAAACTACAGCAAAAGAGTGAGCAGAATGTGTATCTGCAGCTGCTGGATGAATAAAGTGCCAGTTGGATCTAGTTTCATGCATTAGTTTGTGCATTGTGTAAAGACAAAGACGCTTAAGAGGCACATTAAACAGGGATACACTCACTGCATGTAAACAGTACATTTAATACCTGGTTTGATGAAGTCCAAAGAGTTTGATTAATGTATGAAACTTGATCAGGGTGCATGAGGTGGAGGCCAGGGACACTAGAGCCACTCCACTTTACTATTCTGACTACACTTAATCATTAATGGTGCTCTCAGCGTCAGTCAGGTGTGCTGTTGAAAGTCTGATATTAGGATAGTCATCACTTTAAAGATTTAATGGTAAGAAGAATCTTGTTTTTATTGTTTTCATTTTAGCTTAGTTAAATCAGTGTTATAATTGCATGAATACATATTACATCTATATTTCTATATAAAATAAGAACTGAACTATATTAATCCCATAGTCAAGGATTTTATTTATTACTGGCCACATCATAGGATTGGAAATTACAAAAAGAAAAAAAAAAAGAATTGGCAAATTGGAACTACAACACGGAAGAAAATGCAATGTAACATATTCACTATAGAATTACAATAGAGACAGTGACACATTGATTTTCCAACTATTAGCAGAAAATCTAAAAATGAATATGAGAAATGGTTTTATTTTGTGTAAGTCATTTTGGAGAAATTTAGTGTCATTTCATTGTGCCAAGAAGTCCATTTGAGCAGGTACACAGGACACAACAAGGCCACCGCAGCCTGCTCCAGAGCCCAAACAGTCACAGGGCTGTTCCCATAGCAACGTGCTGGTCGCAGCAGGAAGTGCAGTCAGACATTAATCACTACATCTCACATCTTCGACACAGGAGCTGCAATAACAGAGGCCTACAGCGGTCTGCCTGAACAAGTGGACTTTCACACCTGGGGCTGAGGTGCATAGGACAAAGAATGAACATAATAGACTTTTGAAAGGGAAATATAAGAGAAATAAGGAGACAGGGTGAGATGGGCTTAAGTTACACTGGTCTACCACGTCGACTCATGGCGTATACCTATGCTGGAAAAATGGGCTTGTAAATGAACTGCCAGTCAGGAAGAGGCAGCTTTGTTCTTGTGCCTAGGTGTGTTTGGATCATTCTCACAAAAACAAAAACACAATACAGTCTTGTCTTAACACATTTGGTTGCCCATATTGTACCTTTTATGTGCCACATTGGAGCTTGTAAGGCATTTTAAGTGAAAGAAAGCTACATTTGTGGGACTACATCACAAACGGCTGCCGTTTTTTGTTTTTTTAATAGCTGCATAAAGCGTGAAATATGCAACAGGTCATGTTAATGTTTAAACTGCCTTCCCTATGACTAAAAACAATGTTTTAGTCCATTATAAAACATAGCAGAAAAGTGGTTCACTTCAGTTTAGTGAACACTGCTTTCCATCTTGATAAGGCCATATGCCACCTGGCAATAAAACGTTCATTTGAGAATCACACTAATAGACATGACTGAAAACTAAAATGATGCCAATGACTTATTATTGATTCACAGGCTCTGACTGAGAAGTGAAAAATGCACTGTTTTGGGAAGTAACTCGTACCGAGAAAAACATTAGACAAATCTGATCAGTGATGGAGGTAATAATATACATATGACAGTGGCTCTCTGCCCCCTGGAGCTAATCCTCATTCATTAGCTGGTTTATGAGGCGTGTTGAGTGGGAGGCCCGGCGGTGCAGCAGCTTTTTGGCTCCACTTGCAGCCTTCAGAGTTGTGCCAAATCAAAGGCGCTCGCTGCTGCCGCTGCAAATGTGTGAAATCAGGAAAACCCTAAAAGATCTCCAAAAGCTCCGAGTGGGTGGATTCACTTGAGTAAAAATGACAAGGTTTTCCCTCCTCAGTGGGCAACCATAAACAAAGCTGTACAAGAACTCTTCATTTCAAGAAGCTGCCAGCACTAAGGGAAAATGCAAGAGTAAAGCTGCTGGTATCTCAAGTAAGTTGAACATTCAACTTTTTATTCCCAGTCCGGCAGAAAACATGACCAAACCCAATGGGCCTTTCTTCACATTACAGACAACACACAATATATTGTGAGAAGAGTGGAAAGATTTACTTTTTAATTACTTTGATATGTATTTATTGGTGTATCATGGAAATAACATCAGTGGTTGGAGGTCAGAGGAAATGAACCACCAACCCTTTCTTAAGTGGGTATCTGAAGCGTACATTTTATTGTTTAAGACAAATTCAGCTAATTAAGTGGTTTACCAAAGCAATGAAAATACAAATAAACCTAAGCTTGATTATCAGACATAAAAACATAAAAACGTCCACGATTAAACAATTTTGCTGACCTCATCATTCACACTGTTGTTATTTGAAGTGCGTAGTTAGTGGATGATTTAACTGAATGAATATTTAGTTGAAGATATTCACAGTGAATACAATCCTGACAACTAATATATCAAAACAATGACTCATAAATACTACTGAGACAGTCAGTGGTGAGTGACAATGTCCTTTTTACAAGCGACAAAATGAAATAAATGAAAATACAAGCAGGTGGAACAGAACATTCATGATGACTTTGTCACAGCAAACAGACAAATGGGTTGGTGACGTAGACACAATGTGACTATCAAATACATTTAAAAAATGAAATGCTGATGCAGGGACCAGCATTTTTGTGCAATTAATCTGGCAAACTGACATTATGTTTACACTTGGCTTACACTGACTTTTAGTTAGTTAGAGTTTAGTTTGTTAGTCATGGAGAAAATCAAATTCAGTAGGTTTGAACATGTGGCTGGCTCTGTAATTCAAGTAGATGGGATAGCTAGCTCAATAGTGGACTTCTATAGTTTTTGGTGTGAAGTCACTGAGTTCCATGGGTCCCCTATTTGAATCTATCATGTTCACTCATACGCTGTTTAAACAAAAGTAGGGCCTACAAAAATGGGCTTCATGGTAGTGTATTATAATTGTTTACCTTGAGAAATAGCCTAAACTTCTCCCACATAACGTGCTTGACATAGTGTGCAGTGCCTTTCAGATTGTCTGGGCTTAGGTCCCTCATAGTAGCTCACAGTGACAAGTTTGGTCCTGAACGCGCACTTACAATGGCAACAGTGACAAGCCTAATTAAATCTACCCTTGGCATTATAATACCCTTTAAACTCTAATTAACTTCTCACTGGTGACATTTGGTATTGTGTATCCGCATGTATCAGGTTCATTTGAGTCAGGGCTTGTGTCAGTGTCAAACTGCGCCTTCTGGATCTTGAACGCGTCTCGTTCGCTGAAGCACACTGACTGCTGCAAAGACGGACAAACAGCGGCGGCCTGTCGGAGCTTCTGCACACCGCACTGCGCCTCTCTTCTCCGGGTGCTGTCACTCGGAGGCTGCTCCCTGCTAATTAGGCCACTGGCTGCTGATAGGAGCAGACAAAACTCACATACTGCTCAAACGACGCCAATTATCCGCGCATCTCGACTTGTTTACTGAAGACTAGGCATGCGCTTTAAAAACCACCTTTCTTCATTGCCTGTCAGCGCTGAAAGGGGTCCGCTGCTCTTTACGTAATGTTTTTTGCGTAATTTTGACCGTGTATTGGATGGCGCGTGGATTATTCTGGCGAGGGCATCTCTAGTGTAGTGCTCACCCTCCTCTTTTTTGCATCCGCCGTTGTCTTCAGAACTTGACGCACGCACAAAGAGACAGACGGGCTGGATGGAGCAACACGAACAGCTAGGAGCTGTGTAGATACGAGCCGGAGACACTGCATCCTTTTCGGCGTTGGCTCAAGGTAAGGCTGCTGCTTTGGTTGCTTCTGCTTCCTTCTTCATCTCGACTCACGTTTCCATGTTCTGCGCGCTTGTTGTCGGGGAGAGTGGTGCAGTGCCAAGTCAGCGCGTCTACAAGGACATTTTGTGAATGGTGCGAGATTACGTGTTTTTATGTTTCACATCTAACTCGATTCGGATGAAACTGATTGAAGGTTACCAAAACGCGTCTTGTATCTTGGAGATGTTGAGGAGGTGTGAGAAAGAGATGTGTCTTATAGAAGAAATTACCTTCGGATAAGATGCTAGTGCTGTTTTTAAGGTGTGCAAAGCAGAACACAGAGGGAAAGTTTATGCTTGTGAAAGCTGCGAATGCATCATAATATTAATCAAGCGCATGCACTGTGACCAACAAACCAGTAAAGTATTCAAAGACACCGACTCTAAGAAGACGTGATGTTTACATCAAACATCAGAAGGAAACCAACAACCAATCCACAGAAACACTGCTGAATTAGGTTAGAGTATATTCTTTGATTTCATATTGTCCAATAAAGTCTAAAACTACAGTGATGTTTAGTCGTGCCATGTGACAGACTTTTAACACTTTCTGAAGCTTTAAATCACCTCCTGATGCAGACAAACGCAAAATTGACGAAGGCACATGTGAATGTGTTAAATACATAAACATTCAGAATTATAATAATATAATCTCACACTATTCAGTAGGCTTGCATAAGTGTTTCTGTGCAGCTTTGTGATAGTTTTAATGACATACTATTGAGGCCCCATGGTTTGTAGACCTCACCAGACCTGATAGTTGACTGGTATACATGGTATGGTTTGACATAAACAAAAGATTAGATTAGATTATTTAGTGCTGTCTCACTCTCACACAGGCACATATGCAGTCCAGTCCAGTGTGTCATGTATGCCTTAAAATATGGATCAACTAAATAAAAATAAATATGATAAATCAATGTGTTAAGAAAGACAACTGTAAATGTAAGCTATATTAACCAGCAAATGTTTACAAAATGGACATTTATCAAAAAATTTATCTGACATTACGACATTTAATTCTGTTTCTCTTCTTTCTTTCAGCCTACTCTTTAACAATGGGATTTGTTTAAACTTGAGTGGGATTTCCATCATGCTGGACTCACTACCTCAGTGGCGCCCCCACTGTCCCAGCTGGACATGGCTCCTCTCCATTGGGACTGCCCTGCTGTGGCTGCCCCTGTCCCACACATCCGCCCTCAACTGCCACAAAACCTGCATCTGCGCCTCCAACATTGTCAGCTGCTCCAAGATGAACCTGTCAGAAGTCCCACTCAACATCCCTTCCTACACTGTAGTTCTGGACCTCAGCTACAATGAACTTAAGAGGCTCAAATCGGAGTGGACACCAGACCGTCTACCCAATCTCTATAACTTACTCGCTAGCCACAATGAAATGACTTTTTTGTCATCAGAAGCATTTGTGAATGTAAAGCAGCTGCGCTACTTGGATTTGTCTTCTAACCATCTACGACAACTGGACGAATTTGTCTTTGAGCCTTTGGTGAACTTAGAGGTCCTCCTTTTGTACAACAACAGAATAACCACGATTGACCGTGCAGCTTTTATTACAATGATTAACTTGCAGAAGCTTTACCTTAGCCAAAACCAAATCTCTCGATTCCCCTCAGAGCTTGTAAGGGAGAAGTCACGCTTGGACAAACTAAGTTTATTGGACATATCTTCAAATCGGATCGCGGTTTTGCCCATAGATGAGCTAAGAGTCCTCCCTGCCTATATAAAAAATGGCCTTTACTTTCACAATAACCCTTTGCATTGTAATTGTGACCTTTACACTCTTTTAGCTCACTGGTACATACGAAAACTCAACTCTGCTGTGGACTTCAAAGATGATTACACATGTGTCTTACCTGGACCCCAAAAAACCCAAGTTCCTGCCTTTGACCTTAGCAGTGATTACATGAATTGCAGTACGTTCAAGGAGGAAGACGGGGAGGCATATTTGGAACAGACGCTACTTCTCGGGTGCGATACAAAGCACAGGAACATGTTTAAGACTTGGACACTGCCTGGGAACGTACCAGTGATAGCAGGAAGTAACCAAACTGCGAAAGTGCTGCATGACGGGAGTTTGCAGATCAGCCCAGTGAAGACAGATGATTCTGGGACCTATACATGCTTTGCTACAAATGAGGCATTTAACGAGACCATCTATATTGTGTTAAAAGTGCATAATTTTACCATGCAAAGAAGTGGGGAAACTCTTAACACAGCGTATACAACATTAGTGGGTTGTCTAGCTAGTGTGGTCTTGGTCCTCATGTATCTGTACCTTACGCCGTGCCGTTGTTTCTGCTGTCCCAACAAGGGCAAAGGCAGAGGTGAAGACAGCATCCACTCCTCCATGCTAAGTGTTACACCGACCCATGAGGATCCAGCATTGAAAGCAGAAATAAACCGCCATGTTGCTTTTATCGACTCCAAGAACTCCCAGGGGCAAAATGGCAAACTTAACCCCAATGGTGATGAGGATGAAGAGGATGAGGAGGAAGAACAGGATGCAGAGGCTGGATCACTCATGAAAGGCAAGAGAAAGAAGTCTGTGGCGGAGTCTATAAGCTCAGTGTTCTCAGATACGCCCATGGTGGTTTGAACTGGACAAGATGGCCACCATATTTTGTATCGTAATCCATCAAATTGGACCTATAAATACAAGGGATACTTTAGACAATAAGCAGGACTTTTTTCTCCAGCATTTAATTGTGTAGCACTTAATTTTCATACTGTGAAGGAATGGCGATGTGAATTGGGAAGATTAGAAGTAGACTTGAGAATTTAGGAGGTGACAAATCAGATTGGTGACATATATGATGCATGGTTGGCTCATTACTATAGCCGATTCATAAGGGACTAAAAATAGCACGCATCTTATGTAAACATTGGGTACATTTACTGCACAAGAGCCCAGACAGAGATAGCCAGAGACACAGGAAGCCTTCGATTCATCTGTCATTAAGACTGAGTCATCTTTGGTAGAGTGGTACACCTATTCTATTTATGTAGGAATTTATATTGAAAACAGTAGCACAAGTATGACAATAACAATCTAGATTCACACGACACTGTAGCTCATTTCAATATTTGTTTCTTGTGTGAAATCTTGTACAGTCTATAGGTAAACTCATCTACTATTATGAAAAAGTGTAACTCAAGAAATATGAATTCATCTTTTACTGTTATGTGACTGGGGTCTGTAACTATGGGCCTTAAGTGGAGTACACCCGAGACGTTATGACAATGGCTAGCCAGCTCTAGAAGCAGACTGCCATTTGTTCACTATGAGAACATTTTATAGTCTCCAATTATTCTAAAACATTTATTACAGTTAAAACACTCTAGCCATCCATAATAAGTGCTAAGTTGAGCGGATGTCTTCATTGTAGGCCAGCATCTTCCATGTGTTTTTATTGTTGTGGTCTGTTACACTACCTGGATATTTGTAGTCATTGCTTAGAGCGGCCAGCTGAGGCCTATTGTACACCTGAGGGAAAGTAAAGATGTTTTCAGATATATGATACTTACTGTTTTATATCAGACGTAGCCATATTGCAAATGTGGTTTGTGAAGAGTAGTAATAAAACTGCGGAATGGATCAATGCTGTGAAACATTCACTAGCTACTCTGCACACACTGTACCTAATAAAATGGCCATTGATGTTCCTCTTTGCTGGAAAACATTTAGAGATATTGCTTGTAATATTTGAACCATTGGGGCCATTCTCCTCTGATCATTAGCATAAACAAAACCATACTGGAAAAACCTGTAATGGAAATCCCATTTATCTTGTGTTTATCCGTAACTATCATATGCACTACTAAGCTGTGTTTATGCCATATATGTACTCTGGGGCCTAGCCTTCTGGCCAGTAAGTTTCCATTAGCTCTTTCGTGTCTCTTACACTGTGATTGTCTGTTTTTGTTCACAGAGATGAGACTTGTATATACTTCTGTCTTCTTTGTGGGTAGGTAGGTATAAGATATTAAGAATAGACTACCTTTGTAATCAGTTTAAACCACTTAATGCCACAAAATCTCAAATATCAATGAGAATATTTTGATTTACATAGTGATTGTTGCAAATTTTAGTTCACATCACACATTTAAAACAATTTTCTAGCCATGAGGTAATTGATGCTATCTCAGTGTAAGGTATTCCAGGATTAAATGTTAACTGCTCTGTTTGATGGGATGAAGGTGCTGCTGAGGTTGTCTGTACAAAGGAGATAGGTGCGTTATCTCGGGTCACAGAGACAATAAGCCATAGCCTCTTGTCCAGTCCACTGTGTTTGCTTTGTACTGTCCCTCTGTCCTGTCACTGATGAAGCAGATAATGACTGTCAGGCCATTCTGGGTGTTATGGGTAAAATCTTGTTGGTTAGCTTAGCCGTTAGTATTTAGCAAGAAGATAGTGAAATTGTAATGTGGTTAATAGTGCGTTATTTCAAAATACACACGGGTCTTGCAAAATACATCAAGAGAATAAGATGCTAATAACTAACATTAATTAGCCTTAATAAAGCATGAACAAATGGTTTATTATGATTCAAGTTTTGTAATTAGGGGGCTAGGGTTAAAGGCTAGGACATTAATAAAGCGGTGACCAAATTAATCATTTTTAATTAACTTAGACTTTGACTTAGACAAACTTTATTGATCCACAAGGAAATTATTTGGACACAGTAGCTCACAGCATATTATAATAACAAAGAAAAAATGTATGAGTGGTATAATAAATTAACTAAATAAGTAGCAGAAATAACAAGAGTTTTTAATGTATTTATTATGAATTAAGCTTTGTTAATGCTTTATTAAGACAATAACAATGATAAGTATTATATAGCTATTATAACATTTTACCGAGAATAATATAATTTCACCTGTAAATTGTTTGTTCATAAAATTGTGTCAGAAATTGGGTGTGGATTCAGGCATAGCTGACAAGAGCAGAATATTGACATATTAAGTGGTACTAAGAAGGACATAGGGTACACCAGCAAATGTACAAGGGAATGTATGGTCCCAATCCATCAATCTACTGTTAAAAAGGTATTTTATATATATATATATGTTTTGTTCTAATGAAATGATAAAAAGAATTTTGCTTATGGGTCTGCTGCAATTGTTAGGTACAGAAATCTAACTCACACAGTACATTTACCAGTAAAGGATAAGAGAGCACATTCAAAAACTTCAGCTGTGACTTCAAATGGGACAAGATCAGTGAACCCAATCATTTAAACTGCCTATGTGACGATTTTTACCACATTACCACACACATCTCAAAAACAAAACATTTTACTTATGAATAATATGATTTCTAAATGTCAGACTGGAAGACATTTGCGCACATCACAAATACTTTTTGGTAATTGGTGGCTGTCTGTAGCTGTGTGTACCACTGCAGCATCTTTTGTGTGGGAGAGAAACAGGAAGTCACACTTATGAAGAGTGATGCCATGTGAATCACTCCACTCATCGCACATAGGAATACACCAGGTGGAGATTTATAGACAGGCAGCGGTGAAAATACCACCAGACGATATTAAATAAACCAATCTGAGCACAAACTAGAATTGGTTGCGCAAAAGTCTGTTGCCAGGTTTATCTTCAGCCTGATATTCTTGTTCTTCAGCTCAATATTTTGCTTTTTATGGGTCATCTTTATTTATGACTTACTCAACAAAAATGGGCCCAAATCAACACCAAACTGTCTTAAGTAAAAAGTGAATAGGATGACGATACTATGAAGATTATCAAAAGCTGGCCAATATGTGTTTGATAACTTCTTCTTCTAACATCAATATAAATGCCAGATGTTGCTAAAAATAAACTAAATTAACAACTTGTTTTAGTTTTTAGCATTTCCAGATCTGAAATTCCTCAGGTGTTAAAACTTTAAATTCATAGCTTAATGGTCTTGAATACAACTTAGCCTATAGTGTATCAAATTCAATGTCTGGGTTCTTATTGGTAACACATTGTACAGTTGATTTTCAAGTGCTATTGATGAGATCCTAACACACACACAGGGGACAACAGAGGAGAATAGTGGCTTTGAGCTATTCAAAGCAGATCTGCCTTCCTACATATTAACACGTATATACAGTAACTATGTATGCCATTTTCTGTGTTCAGTATTGATTGGTTGTGTAAAAATATGTTCTTTCTATGTATCGTGTATTTCTTGTGTAATCTAATGTCTTTGGCATCTTGTCTGCTGCTGTGCTATGTTTGAGAAGTCTTGACATAAATGTTTATTTTTCAAGTGGGGTTTATGGGGTTTAGCTTTTTATAGGAGAGGATGTATTTTGCAAAATGACAAATGTATGAAGCATGTAACAAAGATTGTTGTCAGTATTGGGCTGTGAATATGTAGCCACCACTTACTTTTAGTCAGACTCAGTACTTGACTCAAAAAGCCATAATAACTTTAAGAAAAGCACAGCTCTTTGGGGCTCTGTCAGGTGACTTCAGGATGACTCATGAAGCAGAACAGAAAGAGTAATCACTTTATAATTTCTACTAGCAGTCTTGTAATTTAGTGGAAGTTAGTCAGACTTTTGCATTTGAAAGATGACCAATTTTGTGATAATAGACTGTTTTTTCGATAACTACTTTCATATAAACATGGATATAACTGGATTATTACATCTTCTCAGGCCTTCGTCGGTTTCCTACTCCTTAAAAGATAGTCCCTGGTGCCGATGGGGTAATTTTAAAATCAGAATATCTTTTTCATGGGGTAAAATGCTTCAGTACAATCTAATGTCTCCACAAAACAAAAACAGCATTAATTGACTATCTCTCCCGAGACATGAGCATGCTGACTTCTGCCTCGGATGGACTGGCCCCACGAAACTAAAGAGGAATGGCTTTGCATGGTTCGCTTCTGTGACTGCAGGATAGATGCAACCCAGTAGGCATTACTGAACTTCAATAACAATAGACTTAATAAAAATGTAGTATTAGACCTGTGTTGGCTCATTGTTTTAAATAAAAAAATAAATATATATAAATATATTTTCCCGATTTTTAAAAAACTTTTTTAAATTCTATATTTCATTTTAATATGTTTAACTGTTTTACTAACATTGCTCTGCCTGTCAGATTAGGATATCCAGGAGCTCAGATATTTTTTTGGAACACAAAGTTAAGGTTGTGACGCCCTCTTGTGGACTGATTGCAGCCAACGTATTCTCAACATACATTAACCATATTATTATTTTATTTTATTTTTAATAATAAAATTGTTTTTAATAAGCATAAAACAAACTAGGGATTATATAATGAAAGTGAGTAAGAATGTTACTACAATGACAGTTTAGAGGCAGAAGACAAGTTCTGATTTGAGAGTTGATAAAGGACTCCCTCTACTGGTCAAAAGATTGAAGAAAAAAATAATAAAAACAATATGTCAAATACTTAAAAACACAATTTCAGTTTATTGTTTTGTTCCCGTTTGTTTAGCAGCATGATTAATACATGGAGGTGCTATCTGTTTTTTAAATACAGACATAATTCTTTTTGTAAAAAATATTTCAAAAATTTACTTTTCACATTTACACATACTATACATCCATAATAATGAAGACACATAATTGTGCATAAAAATCAACAAATATAAACACAGTTGAACACATACATTCATTCACTCAAACTGTGCTGGTTCCCTGTAGGTTGGTCTAATACTGGCCTGGAGTGTCATCTGTAGAGAGAAGGGAGAAAAATTAAGATTTTCATGTTTCTGTAAACACTGCATATTCTGACACCTTTGACAATCAATACAAGTCTGGCATTTAGGAAAAATAGTGCAAGATTATAATCAGAATTCAATTCTATAAAACACAAATGATTATGATAATGATCAACCAGCAAATTTCAACACATTTATGAAAAAGCAAATGGACAATGTTTATTTAACAGTAAATTAGTCCAAAGAAAAAAAAATCCCCACAATATTTGCAGTTATTTTGTAGTATAATTCATTACAATGCAGTGATGCAGAGGCAGCCTTATCAGAGGTGTCATTTGTAACACATTGACCAATCTAGGTAACTGTAATACAATTTGAATCACCTTCAGATGTGCTCTTTCCTCCACACCCCAAGCCAGACATCCTGAGTGCTGTCCCTCTTCCAGGAGAACAGGCTGGAGCGGGACGGGGGTGATAGGCGGGGACACTTTTTGGATGGTGAGGAGCTTGTGGGGGTCATTGTAGGTTGAGTTTTTCTTTTCTGTACGAGAGCCCTGTCATCACAGCTACCTGCTCTGGGCTGTACTATCCCGGGAGGTCGTCCTTTGCTCCGTGCAGGGCAAGGGTTTGGTGGTAGGGATTCATTTAAAAGTGTGGTGTTTCTTTCAGAGGGCCGTAGAGGTGACAGTGGTGGCGTCTTCTTAGATAATGATCCAGGGATGAGTGTGTTAGAGGGGGCTATGTGCTTAGAGGGTGTGGTGTGAGATAACTGAGGTTTTTGTACAGTTTTGGTGTTTTGCATAAGCTCCCTCTGTCCAGTATGAGCCTTACTAGTCTGCACAGCAGAGGAGGACTGCTGACCTGAGCCAGGGCTCATCGTGGGGGCAGAGGGGGGTGACTTGGTTCTCTTAGAGTTATTTTTAGTGTTTCTGAGTCTTTCAAGTGAGGTAGATTTAACATTAAATGAACCAGGACTGGACCTTGCTCCTATTCGGACCGGCGATTCTCGTGTTGAAGATGTAGCATGAGCGGACCTGAGATTTGAGGCAGGTTGAGGCATTTTCCTGGATAAAAAGACATATTATTAGACTTATATCAACAAAAAATATATATAATTTTTATTCTGTTGCAAATGTAATTCAGCATATTAATTTACTGCATAAATAAAAAAAATGCTAATGATGCAATTTCTGCTACATCATTAGCTTTACACACCAAATGTGAGAGGTCACTAATCTGTGTTCACTAAAACCCAGAGTTATTTCCTTGTAGCGGATTAGCCCATGCATCTATTTAAAGTAAGTCTCATTCAGAGGCTGCATCCTGACGTAAAGCTTCTTACTTCCACAAGTGTGAGTTCACATGGTCCTCCAACATGGCACTGAGCGCTATCCGCAAGTGATGCAAGCGTCGATCAAATGTGAAGACACTACAGCCAAACGCACGACATCCGAACGTGCACAGCTGTAAAGAAGACACATTTTAATATATACAACAAATTTTTACTGCCAGAAGTCCCTTTGTGAGTGTGCGTACCCCAAGAGGTTTAGGATGCCAGGGTGTGGAGGGCACATCAGTGCATTCCTCTTCATTGTCACTGTTGTCACTGGATGGCAGGCTCTGGTTGAATGGATACGGAGGCTGTACTTCTACTTCTACTACAGTGCTCTCCTCCATTGCAGTGGTTTCTGAGGTATCTCTCGGCCTATGGAAGATAAATACAATACTTTGTTGTGTTCGTGGCAGGTTGTCTCTGATTTCTTCATAAAAAAAAAATAAAAAAAATCTCGTCTCCCATAGAGTTTTATTTGTCCCTGCCCATCATTTGACATTCTACAAGTATTCGGTAGTAATATATGTATAATTATTATTTTGCATATTTTACCAATTGTAGAAGATCGCCACACATACACACATAGTTTGGGCCAATAAGCAAACAGATACAGTAGATACAGTGAGGGTATATAAAGTAATTATTCTTACCTGGCAATGTGGTTGTTGGAGTTGAGGGTAAATTTACTGCAGCGACTTGAGTTTTCTTTGGGAGGACCCTGTGACTCTGTGGTTTTGTTTTTTACATGAGCCATCTCTGAATCTCGAAGTGAAGAGGCTACATTTCGAACATCAGAATCAGTCTTTGTTTTCAGCTGTCGATTCATGTCCATCTTTAAAGACATAACATAAAAATAAACACCACAATAGTAACAAGTTGTTTAAGTTGAGTTCAGTGCATCTTGTAATACTTACAATTTGTGTCGGCTCCTGAGTGCTGAGCTTTTTCTTGTCTTGATCTTCACACTTTTTGTTTATTGATGTTTTGTTGTTTTTGTGTGTCCGGGTATAGGCCCGTGTGTCACACTGGGGGCTGTAGGTGGTTTGTGCAGCGGTGGGCTTCTGAACAGAGGGCTTCATAGATGATGGTCTGAGAGATGAAGGGAATGTGACGGAGGAGGAGGCAGAGGAGCGACAGTGGTTTGGGAGTGAGGGCACTGAAGGCAAGGGGTGACTTTTGGGACGCTGTGGAAAAGCAGGGTGTAATTTGTCCTGAGTTATTTTGTCCACAATGGGCAATCTGGGGAAATGAGGAGAGAGAGAAAATAAACACACTTTAAATCAAAGTGAACAAACAAGCATGTACATAAACAGAGCAACAGTTAAAAATACTCATAAATATATGACAAAATACAAAGTCACACCTATTGCACTTTTGGCTGTGTGGAAAGATGCTATAAATGCAATGCAATATTTTTGCTGGTATTAAGTATGTCTTTAAATACTATAGGGTTGTATATAATTTATATAAATTAACCCAAACTCATAGTTCAAAACGTATTGTGAGATAAGCTCTAGTGTCAAATGACTGAAACTGTGGGTGCACCAACTGCCTTTCCTGTCATTCCCAAACACAAGCAGGCATCAGGAATTAAACCATTATCCTGCTATTTATTATCATTTCTAGTGATCTTACCTTGCTGCCTCTTTCATAGGTTTGCTGGGCCTGCGCTGGGAGGGGGATGATGGGACACTAGTCTCTTTGAGCCTACTGTCCCTCTGTTTTTCTTTGGACACATTTTGGGAGGGAGTGGAGGGGCGAAAAGTTTGCAACTGCTGTAGTGGAATAGAGGTGGATGGAACACAGGTTTTAGTGAGTGAGCTGTGCCTCCGATTGCAGTGCTCCTCAAAGGCCTGAGGTTTCACCAGTTTCCCACAGTGACTGCACACTACCAAGTAGAAGTCATCCTGCGCTGGACAGTGGCCGTATATGGGCATGTCTGAGGAGCAGAAACACAAAAAAGAGGAACAATGCAATAGTGACGATTCATACTTTCATTGAATTGCGTGAAAAGAGGTTTGATTTTCACCTTCTTTCCTGAGGGTCATGGTCTCACAGCGGTCCCTCCCAGATTTGGTGTCTTCAGACGGGACTGTGAACACAAAACAGATACATAGATGAGCTGTCTATAGTATGCAAAGACATTATGAATGATCAACCACAAAATGCTAAATAAACAAAAGACAAAATATTAAAAAATCCATATAAAATTATCCATAGCCATTTTTTGTCTCACTGTCGGCTATTTTTAAACGTTCAAGGAGTCAATGATGGTACGCCGTTTACGCATAAAGTGGTTTATCCAGATGAGATGTAAACACATTTTCACTAAAAATGCTGATCCATAATTTCTAAATGAATCAAAATAATAAGAAAAAAATCCACATAAATCAGTTACAAACTCCAATAACTCGTGTCAAAACATCTGAAGGCATTTGTTGTGTAGTGCTATTAGCCATCTTCAGGTGTTGCTGATGTTGTGGTACACACTGGCTACGGAGAACGAACATACGCTGCCAAAAGCTATATAGTGTAGCCAACACAGGCTCTCCAAAATTACTTATTTCAGACAAAACAATAGTTTATTTTTGTGTATGTGCATAAGAGTACTTCGCTGAAGGATGTTGACGAACCCCCTCAGCGCTAGGACCCAGCAGATCTTTTGTTTGGGTTGCGTTTTGAGTCGGTCTTTACGCGTTGGAGTGAGAAAATAAATCAGTGGGAAGTGGTTTTAATCAGAAACTCGGGCGACACTGAGAGCAGGGGCTGTGACTCACCGTCCGAAGGTTCAATGTCCACCGTGTCGACCCAACAACTCCAGTTTAATCCGACAAAATCATCGAGATTAGGCATCCGCCGATCCACAGCGGCCATTGCTGCTCCTGCGCGCTCCCGAGTGACGCCGTCGGTCATGTGCGCGCATTACAACCATAACATCAGCCCAGAGAAATGCTTAATAAACGTCTAACGTGCATATTTATAGTTAAGTCAATGTTGCCTTTTAAATTGTACATGTATTAACTGTACATTTTCGGTCATTTCATTTCACAGTAGAACTTTTATAGATTAAAGTAGAAGTACTTCAAATGCAGGGGATCTTTGACATACACCACCCCATTATTCAGTCTACATATATTCTATCTTTTGACAAATCCAACAAGTCTGTAAGTGTCTAAGTTGTGGGTACTTGCAGTCAGTTCTTTAAGAGCTTCCGATTCAGATACACTGAAGGTGAAAACTACTACACTGTGTATAGAAGAGAAAACAATGTAAGCAAGTTATTTCCTATGAGGACACAAAAAAATGGAAACTCTTACACTTGAATGTGTTTAATATGCAGAATGTACTGTATAAGATACCCTAATAATAACCACAAAAAAGTAATTCAGTTTTGATTTTAATGTTGCTCAGCATTTTGTAACAGTTTCTTTGCAAAAGACTTCACAAGCCATCAAGTTAGGAAACAATTACAATTAAACCAACAAAGATCGCCTTCCCTTATGACAAAGTGGAGGTAGAAGCCAGACAAAAGCAAAGATAAAAAACGTTTTTGAAATTAGTAGTTCCAAGTCAATTAAATTAACAAAAGGTCTTTGTAACAACACTATTAATAAAGATTTACATTTCTTTCAACCACTAACATGACATGGAAGTCTGTGCACACCAACACCAAACAGGAAAAAATATGGCACAAAATTTAAATAAAATAATTTCAAATTGGCAACGTAACATTTTCTTGTTTAAATGCAAAAAGGTTGTTAAATCAAAGTGAAACACATTTTCTTCAGAATGTTTTGGTTTCCAGACAATACGGAGGCAATAACCTCGAGTTAATCAAAAGAATGTTTCACAAGCAATGTAATTTGTGTTCTGAAATATTTCATAGTATAAAATTGTTATTGAATTACTGAATTACTAAATTACAACGTGGAGTGGGCACATAACACACACACAAACACCAAAATGGCAAAAAAAACGTTAGGCTTTGATTATGCTACAATTTTAACAAACCAAATATATTAGATAACTCAAATTAAACAAATAATATAGAGTGCCGCAATTTCTTCATTATAAGGGCTTCCAAAAACCCAAGATGATAATTTAGAGAGTAATAGTATTAACGATGAACAGCCTAATCTATGATCAATAAGATTGCATCATTTTCTAAAGAATGATTGTTTTATATAATAAGAACTTGTGATAACAGACTAAGGACAGGACACATTCCTCTCACATTTCCAGGTTCTCAAAGACCATTGGGAACCCAATATTAATTTTCCTTGTAAATCTAAATTAGTTCTTCCTTTGCTATTTCTGAAATGTATCAAACAAAATACAAACAAATCCAACCCTTAGCAAAAGCAAGTCAGTCTGAACATGTTAACTGCACGATTTCTCTGCCAAACTTAATAGCAAACGCTCAGTAACTCTAACAGTTACAGTTTCAGACTCTGAAGACTTAGGATGGCCTTTTTGCTCCCTCCACATCAGGGGGCTGATTGGGTTCTTTGTGGAAGGGTGTCTCCTTGTAAATGAACCAGCAATTTCCTCCCCACAAGATAAGGTTCAGAAAGCCCAAAATCTGAAACAAGCACAGAAGTAGACAAGTGAGCACAACTCCAATAATTGAGTTGAATCAGTATTCATAGTTTCTCTAATAAAGCACTCATAATACTCATACTAAAAAAATCAACAATATTTCAGTTTAAATTACTGCATTTTATACTTTTTGTTGATGAAAAATTAATGAAATAATGGTTGTGTTTTGTTTAAAATATAGGATTAGTCTTTAACGTACAACTGAGGCGTTGAGTCGTCCCATGTGAGGCAGAACTCCGGCAGTGCATGAGTTTTTGGAATTTTTGCAGACGGCCAGAGTACTGACAATGAGCAAAGGGCTGGTGGCCGTCTTCACATCAGTCAGACCTTTGGCCCAGGCAGAGGCCGAGGTCAGCCACAGGAAGGCCAGAAGTGCGGTGAGCAGCAGGTCCTGGGTCAGGCAAAACAATGTCATTAACACAACACTGTCACTCCCTTTTGCACAGTAATAGGACAGAGGTCAAATGGTTTAACTTTAAGTTTCCATTTTCTTATAACTTACAATATGTTGTATGACTAAGAAAACAAAAACAGCAAAAAACAGGAAAAAATACAAAAGCAATTCTGCTCAAAATCAATTTATAAACATTCTCATACTTCTCTTTGATATTATGCTGAAAGCTGGCTTTTATATGTACAGTGCAATAAGCAGACCATTGAGTCATGCGACTACACCAGAACCAACATGACTGTCAACTGTCTTTACTGAGGTCAAATGTCAACACAGTTAGGTGTAAATTTGTTGCTTAGTTGCAATGTGAAATATGGACCAAAAACACATTAACAAACAAGCAACAAGTGTAATTTACTGTCTATTTGCATTATATTACAGAGTATTAACATACCACGACTGGGGCGCGGCTGGACTCCCTGTACACATGCTGGTATCCCAAATACAAGATAAGCATAGCGGTGCTGTACAGGAAGCAGAACACTCCAATACACACAAAGAACTCTGCAGAGGAGGAACGGTCTCCAGACAGGTAGTAGGTATTTTCAGAGGTATCATTTTCCTTACAGCTGGGTACTTGGTAAGGATGCTGTGCCAACCTATGCAAAGAGACATTACAAAAAAGCCAGATCAATATATTGAAATTAAGTGTGTAATTTACAGTACCATAGATTGTTCATTGCCAATTTAATTATTTGCACTGATTCATGTTTCAAGTATTCTTTATAAAGAATGACTTTCTGATTAATATAACATTTTCAGTGGAACAGTTTTAGTGTAGTTTTTGCTCTAGCACCTCACAGAAGCCCTTGCTGTTTGTTCACTTGTTAGTTAGCTTTGAGAGTGATTGACATAAAGGATTATAGCAATACTGGGCAAAACATAACCCAGTATTTGAGCATGCACTTTGGCATTTTTGCTTAAAAAGCCTTCTTCATGTCATTAATATTATAAAAAACATTTAAGGGTGCCCACCTAAATGGATAGTTGAACTCTGCTATTATTTGCTTGCTTGGCTGGCCAGCACACATAACGTTGATGCCCGTGGAACCGCTGTAACCTCCAGTTGTGGCAAAGGCAAATATGGAGAACACCTGGTGCCAGATAAAGTTAGACACGTTACATGTATAGCATGTGACTGGAGAGAGTGCATTTATAGGGTTACACAATATACATCCGCATATACTTCCATATTCTGAGTGCAATACAGGAAACAGGCCAGTGACATGCTTTTGAAGTAGACAATACATATTTATACTACATTTTCATTCATTTACCAAGATCCCTCTAGCTATGGTCTGGCTGGTTGCTGGAGTCATATTATTAATATTTACATAGTATGCAGTGCCCGACTAAATATCCATACTGATAAATGCATTTGACTTCACTGCATACCACATCTTAAACTGTGTTCCAGCTCAAAGCATGAATCTTGCTGGACACTCAGTTGGTCACAAGATGTACGTACGCCTAATCAATTTGAAAGGTATTTTTTGCCTCTAGGGATGGACAAGCTTCTAAAACATGCATACTCACAGTTTATATGAAGCAGCATCGGTGGCAAAACTTACCCATTCAAGTACGCGTATGAAAGCTAGAGGTTCTTTTAAGGGTCCAAAGTCAAGGCTGAACCCGGAAGATAAAACTTTCTAATAAAACAAAGACACAAAAATTAGTTAGAACTACGCTGATGGTGGGAGCAGTTGTTTGCAAATAGGCGTGTAGGGCTGCCACGAAGTAACAGACGCCATTAACACTCGTTTTTTATAAAGTTGTTAGTTCTGTTACCTGGGCCATTGAATCCATAGTGTGCGTGGGTGAATGCGACCCGCAGCTTTAAATCGTTTCCTGGCAGTTTTTTTTGCCCTTCTTTTGGAGCTCCTTCGAGTTTCTGCAACTTTTCCAAACTTCAGCGGATCCTTAATGACACGTGATCACTGACGTAAGGGCGTCACCAGAGGCGTTCCAGCTCAGTCGGAAGAAAAGCGAAAGTAAATGATATGCAAAGTAAATGTAAATATGTAATAGCACGGCAAATAGCCTTCAAAGGGAGTTGTCCTTCGTCTGACATAACCATGGCTCTATAATATGAGCACTTTCCCTCGTTCAATAACCCTGTACAGCCATAGAGAGCTTACAGGCAGTATTACTTTGTAATTGATGTCACATGAATTGTTTAAAAATGTGTTTCACGTCGAAAGCACAATCATCTTTTTCATTCATTTTTCCATTTATTTTTGAGTGTACTTGCTTTCAGGTTTGTATATTGACATATAGACCTTCTGTTGCAATTAAAATCTATATCTGTGTGTCATAAAAGCATGCCATTGTTTAAAACACTATTTGGGTGGTTAAAGGTGCGCTATGCAACTTATCTTGTTGAGGGCCCACAACTGCTTGTCTCCATGGAGATGTTATTGCTTTGCCTAGAATGTTCCACAGTATGGCATTGAGCTTTTCATACTCTTAATGAAGAGAAGCGGGTGACACTACTAGGCCTAACAGGGTGCAATAATAATTCATGTCATTGTTTTGAGCGATACAAGCACCTGTAATAAAATAAATGCACAATAGATAAATGTAACACCATATTGTGGAAGATTCCAGACGATATAAAACAAAAGCAGGCCATGGCAAACTCTTCACTAAAAAAGTTACATTGCACCTTTCAATGATTCCTAAGTAGCTATGTTTCAATGTCCAATTTGCCCACTAGAGGTCCCTAGTTCTGCAGAATCTACCTTCATATTCATGATCAAGTGGCATTCATTCAAATTCATGGATTCAAGAAGGCTGTTGCAAGCTCTCTGTTTTAAGTTGCAAATCCTAATCTATGAAATTATAATGTCTGGTGTGACAGGAAAAAGCAGGAAAAAGTTTGGCCAATGCATAGGCCCAGCCTATCTCCCAAGGCATAAGAGTGGCTTTGTTCTCCACCTTTTATAACAATTGTCCTGGGTCGCCATGGGGGAGGGGCATTGGTTGTACAGTCCTTCTGTGGAGAAATTCTCGCTACACATAATCTCCCAAAACTAAATCAGAAACACCTATTATTATGATTTTTTTTTTGTTTTTGTTTTTCTTTTCTTTTGTTAAAGGTCCGATATTATGCAAAATGACATGCTAGAATGTTGTTATCTCATCAAAAACATACCTGGATTTGTGTTTTGTTACATTCGCACACATTTGAGTAATCCTTTATTATTAATCTGTCTACATCTTCAAAGCTCAAAATGCTCTGTTCCACCTTCTGACATAATGTAGTGGTTGTTTTCAGTTTAATAGCTCTTTATCTTTAGTTTGGTAGAAACAGGAAATTCCAGGGCTGAAATCATCCAAAAGTTTCTAATGAAGATGTAAGTAGTTTAAAAACACAGTGGAGCACCTCCTGTTATCAACAGTGTTTTCCATTTGACATGTAATTTCAGCCAAAATATGCAGCGTTTGTGTGTTAAATGTGTGAGTGAAACAAAAAACAACTCCAGATATGTTTTTAATGAGGAAACATAACATAGATCAGAAAATATGGGTCCTTTTAACACTGACCAAACTTGTTTAGCCACATTGAATTTTCAGCTCTGGTATTTTGGCATTTTCACAAAGTTGTTTGACCAGCCATGGAGCATTTTAAAATGCACTACAGATTTGTTGTCATTGTTTCCATGTTTAGTCTCAGTATTTACAAACATATGGACTTGAATGAAAAAATAACCTCACTTAAATAAAGGTGTAACATAAAGGGTGTATTTGTATTTATGGATTTGTTTGTTCAATTCATGTTGGATCTTTGGTGCTTTCCTCTTGAACACATGACCGGCAGTCATGAGACAATCTGTCCACTGTCCCATTATGCACAAATTTAATAAACAACAATGACAACACATTCAGGAAGAAGTGGTGTAAATTTGACATGTGCCATGAAAGAGCATCCTCATTTCAATTTTGTCATGTGATGAAAAATTACCACTTTTCTCAAAAATAGGTTTGAATTTATAATCAGTACTACTTATAACATCCTCAATAATCTTTCGAATCCAGTGCATTTCTTAAATGTTGAGTGCTGTGTTTATTGATACTAAGGCCTATGGACAGATCACTCATTCAGTGCATTTAATCCAACAACATAAGACATCTGTGGTGCCTTTTCAATAAAATGCACATTCACATTACATGTGAACACACATTGAGACAAGAGATTCTCCACTAAAATATGATTTAAGTTTTAATGTATGTTTTAATAAGTAGTGATAATAATAAAAATGATTATGATTATGATGATTATTATTATTATATCGTTTAAAGCCTATTTATGATATAGCCTAGTTTTTTATTTTCGTTTTGAACGTCACATTTTCAAAAGTGAAACCGAATTTCTCCATTACCATTAAACAAACAATTACACATTTATTTAAAAGTGGACAGGAAAACCATTCTGTCACCAATATTATCTAGGCGTGTTGCATTTAAACACACACAGCTAAATCCTAAAATCAAATGATTTATTGACTTTTCAATAGTATTACTCAACCAAGCTTGAAGCAGCTTTGACAGCTAATTATGCGGGGTTACAGCTCTGATTCCGCCTCTTTATTCCTTTAACCAATCATAACGAGGTGAAGGAGGACAGAAGAGAAAGTTAACCAATCACATCCTACTTGGCCACAACAACTCAGTGGCACAATTTGAGAGATCGCTACAGTGGATCATGTTGGCCGGGGACTAACAGCGCGGTTAATTGGTGCGCTAAATTGGGAAAATTGCAGTTTGTTTGCGCTATATCATTAGTCCTTTAGATTTAATTCTCGGGGCTACCGGTGGCAGCTTGGAGAGCCTGCCCCGGTTTAAAACCCGAAATAGTCGCTGTCAGGAGGACTACTGTTGTGTTGATGTCATCCGCGGCAGTGGAGCTGTAGCGACCTTCAGTTTTAACACCGGACCAGGATAAACAAAGACACTCGTGGCTGTGGTTTTATGCTCGCGTTTGCTGTTGCTGCAGCAGTTTCTAAACCGAGGATGGGACTTGTGTCGCGGTGTTTCGTGGCGTTTTCCCTGTGCACTTTAGCAGCCGGGTCAGATTTTCTGCGGGACCCACATCCCGCCGGACGGTCGCGTTTTGAGAGGAGTTCAAACATTGCGGGGAAAGCGGCGGAGATCGTCAAGAGGTCTCTGCCTGACTGGCTGGCTCCTGCACAGTCACAACACAGGATTCAGAGGAGAAGCATCGACCAAAGCGATTCCTGCAACGCTCTGCATGGATACGAGGCCAAGTTAGATGCCAACACCCACAGTGTAAGTTACCAAACCAGGTCCTGTTTTACTTCTCACGCCTGGGCGTTCATGAGGCGCAGGTCGGAGCTGCGCAGGTGCTTAGCAGGTGCACCTCCGGCCTAATCTGTGCTCAGTGGAGTCACACCTAGAAACTACCGCGATGGACCGCTTTCCCTTCACCCATGAGCGCACAGCACACTATTCAACAATACCCCCTTTGTGCCTGTTGACTCTCAAAGGCCAATATTACAGTTTGTTCTATTGTTATCTACCTTACAGACAATAGAAAGAAGGAGAAACCAAAACTTTGCATTGACCCACTATAAAGTTCTCTTTCATAAAATGAAATGATAGGATTTGTACCTGGAGGCTTCAATTTTTTAAATGCGAACTACTTGTAGCAAAAGTCAGGTGATTTCAGGAGCTATCTCACCAAACCAGTTTAGCTCATCAGTTGTGATCTACATCTTGTGAACTCTTCCTGGACTAAATTTACATGGCTTTTAATCTGCGTAATTTGTTGTTTGCTGTCCTAACACACTATGGTGTCCATTCCAGATGTAATTTGACTAGGCCTAACTTGTGACTGTCTGTGAGGTTTTATAATGAAACATGATTTCAGGTAATCCTATGTAGGGACTTTGTGCAGCCTAGTAGGCTCAAGATTTCATAATGATACATTTAGACTCTGATGAGATGAAGCAGATGGAGCACCAAACAAACAGGAGTTGTACTGCGCACTCTGTTCTTGAGCCTGTAAAAGAAAACTCCAAACAAACTAGGCCTCGTTGTCATTGGAGTCCGGTGCGGCTCATTTGCCTCCCGTGACCATGTGATCGACTTTGCATTGAATTCTTTGTATACTTGGCCTCCATTACCTAAAGGTGACTGGATTCCTGAGCTTCTAGTTTAGAGTTCTAGTTTAGAGTAGTCCACATACTTATATTGTTAAGTGCAACAGAAAAGGAACAAAATTCTGATTGGGTGAATTTTACCACAATTTATTCAGAGAGAAAAATAAGATAGAACACTCAGAAGTAGGTAAATTAGAATTACTTCTGAGTAAATCTTCCCATTCATGGAGTTCATAGAGATAAAAAAAACAAACAAACTGAAAATAAAATATAGCTTTTGAATGGTTCCTCAAAATGTTGTATAAAAACAGTCAAAACCCGTGAATACTTGAGAATAGTTTTAAAGCGGTCCATCTAGTTTAAAGTTGACACATTCACATAGGAAAGGTGAGTGAAGTATATTGCTAATGCAAACTAGGGCACAACAGCATATAAACTAGTAAGAGTGATATTTGAACTGCCAACTTCCTGGTTATTGGTTAACTGGTCTATTCCAGAGCCACTGTTGCCTCACATGTAACACTATTAATGTAGTGGTACCAGTTATTAATAGACCTGTACTAGTTGCATGAGGCACTTTAGCAAGGTGGTGAGATTTCCTAGAGATATTTGTTGGTAAGTTTATAAAAATGTATTTGGGCATAGTTGTTAAGTTAAATACCAACTAAACACTAACACTACATTGTCAAAGCAACTTGACTTGGATAGTTACCAGGTCAGTCTACCAAAGGATTGTTCCACTGGCCTTGTGAGCTGTTGTTTGATAAATAGTAGTTTTTTTGTAGAAAGTGTGTCTACTCAGATAAGTAAGTAATAATAACATTTTAGCCAGCTCTACTTGAAGTCACTTTAGTTTGTAGTGCGTGATGTGTTTCAATATAAACCATTCAGATTTCCACATCTGTTGATATAAAATGATACTGATGATATGATTTTGTCTGCCTGCAGTACACCCTCAAAGATTTGAGTGGGTCCGTGTCTCTGGCCTGGGTTGGAGATGGCACTGGGGTAAGTCTGATATTACAAACCATTTCCTGAAAGAGTTGTTCTTTTGTATTTGGAAATAAATAAGTAATTATATTTGTAATATATAATTATAATATAATATTATCTTATAATATTATAATATGTATAATATATATTTATAAATATAATAATATTTAACTTTAAACACAGCATTTTCCTTTTGTTATCTTATCTCCCAGAAATGTTATGTATTATATATATATATATATATATATATATATATATATAATTTTTTTTTAAACATACTCATGTTTTAATAAGAAGATAATATAATGATATAATTTGCATGTTCCTAAACTGTGGTTGTCTTCTTGACTTCTTTCACCTGTCACCTTCTGTCACCAAAACCAAACCTCATCTTTCCAACAGGTTATCCTCGCACTGACAACATTTCAAGTCCCATTTTTCATGATCCGGTTGGGACAGTCCAAACTTTATCGCAGGTAAGACTACTTTAGTGCAATGTGACAAACATATATGCAAACAGTATTTACATATCATTTGTCTGTGTTCCCAGTGAGGACTATGGCAAATCCTTTGAAGATGTGACTGAGTTAATAAACAGCACCTTTATCCGCTCCGAGTTTGGGATTGCAATTGGTCCAGAAAACTCAGGAAAAGTAAGTAGTAATGGCCCATTTGTTTAATGAACTGCATTAAAATATGCCAATAATATAACATGTAGTGAATATCACATGGTTCTGTGTTTGTAGGTGATACTGACAGCAGAAGTATCAGAGACACTGCAGGCTCGTATTTTTGTGTCCAGTGACTTTGGGAAGAGCTTCTCTCACCATGACCTGCCCTTCATTCCCCTCATGCAGATTTCATACAATCCGGAGAACTCCAGTGTGCTTGTCGTTCTCAGCAACAAAGTGAGTGCACTTTTGTTTTCTTATTTTTTTATAAGTTCATAAAATCTATTAAATCCCCAGTTGTGTTGTTTATTTTCTATTCTATAATGTCATATAACAACCATAATGTCATGTGGACAGTACTCCTGATGACTGTGACTTTAATGTTATGGTCTACTTTTTACTAAAATAGAAATAATATCATAAAGTTCATATGGAAATTAACTTTTTTTAAGATCTAGTTTTAGTGCAAACTGACAGTCCAAAATCACTGCAATAAAATCCAGTTTCAGTAAAATTAAGTTGTAAAGTAATTGAGCAAAGGCCACGTTCTTTGTGTGAATTTCTTCATATCTGTTGTTTACTGTGGGGATACCCATTAACTTTTAACATTTGCTGTGATTTTACCTAAAGCTAAGTCAAATGGTGTTACTGAATTAACCCTGTCGGATCTCTGATTCTCTTTTAGAATGCACTGTGGCTGTCAAAAGATTTTGGCAGCAGCTGGACTAAGATCCACGACACGGTATGCTTGGTCAAATGGTAAGAGACTATTTATTTTATTAGTACGACTCAATCTATACATAACATAATGATATAAAGTATTTGTATATGCTATATGCTAGAATATTGTCATGGTAATACTTCCCTGTCAAGTGTTGAAACACATTTGTCATTTCTGTGCTAAAATGTTATATGTTACCTATTCACACATAATGGATTATGTATTTCAACTAGAGTTACACTTTGGAGAGCAGCACAAGTATTGTTGTTGTTGGAGGTTACATTTTATTGATAGTGCATGTTATTAATAGTATTTGCTCAAGATTCTTCAAAGATCAGTCACACTGCTCTTTTACCACTGACTGACACAAGTGCAGTTGAAATGTGGCCAAGGCCTGTAGGGCTGTTGTTAAGAAGGTTCTTCCCTGTGAACAACTTTAGCAGCTCCTGTTTCAGTTTTCATGGGTCTGTCCAAGTTGCTATAATTCTTGTGGAGACTACACAATGTTTAGGAAATAATAAATAATTTTAAAATAAATATGTCCTGTATGCAGAGGCAGATCTTTCACATTAGCACTTGTAGCACCAAAGTCAAATGATGCTGAAGAAAAAAAAATATTTTTATCACTGATATGGTGATTAATAGATGTACTTTTTTAAGCAGAGATATGTGTTGAAATGTGTCATTTTTTTATTTGCAACTAAACAGAAGTGAAATGTAAGAATCCTATAGCTGATTAATTTTCCTGTTGAAAATAGTTAGATGCAGTTTCAAAGTTGCCTGCTTATTTATTTTTTTTATCGATGTAACCAAATGTCAGATAACCAAAGAGCCATAAAACATGGGTTGATTATGTCTGTTTAAACACATAGGTAAAATGGCTCAGTTGTGAGTAATAGAAAGAACAGTTTACAAAGAAAGAAGAAAGAGGAAACTTAAAAGTCTTCACTACAGATACAGAACAAATCTTGTCTAAACCTAGGTCCCAGGTCTGTCTTGACTACTTTAATCTCAATCTTCAATCTTCACTCTAATAGAGAGCCAATTTGTAGACTCAAAACAGGACACACAGGAATCACATATTTGAGAAGGGCTGGGCAACACATTATTGCTTTGATAATGGCCCTTGTGTAATGCAAGCCTGTCACCATAACAAATTATTGCTGAGGAAATACTGCTGAAGAAAATATAGACTATAAGTGATAATACTGACCCCCCCCCCCAGTTATAACAGTTATAGTTTGCATCTATAATGAGTCATAGAAGTTATTCATTCAACCCTCTACAGCCCAGATCTAATCTAAAAAAAGAGCAAAAGAGCACCGAAAAGTCCCCATGATATAAATAATAAATATTGACTCCCAAAAATTATAATTCCATATTGAATGATAAGTAGATATTGTAATTACAGTGACAGTGACAGGCCTATGTGTACGTACAAATGAATACATTCCATCAGTTGCTTAAATTAAACTATGACAAATTGCAAAATATTAAGCCAGTTCACAAAATATTTATTTACTCTTTCTCTTTTAGGGGTGCCAAAAGTAACATCTTTTTCACAACAAACCCTAATGGCTCATGCAGTGAGTAATCAGCCATTATTTTAACCTTATTTATGCATGCCTTTTATTTGAACTTTATATTTCACTGTGTTGGATTAGTAGTACTCATTGTTTTTTGTTGTACCATATTGTCACACATTCATACTTTGTGTTTTAGCAATAAAAGTTTTCCTGACTCTGATTCTAAACTGTCATACTTAATACCTGGATAAATTTAAATGATTATACTTTGGCCTGTAGGTGACCGGGGGATGTTGGACCTAAAGAGGACCACAGATTATGGGAAAACTATCAAGACCGTGGCTCATAAGATTTACTCGTTTGGTCTTGGAGGGCGCTTTCTCTTCGCCTCGGTGATGACGGGGAAGGTCAGTGCAAGAGAAACCTGATCAGACCTCCAACAGCGGCCAAACATTCACACTTAATCCACTGTTTACACCTTTGAATTAACAATGCACTGACATCTTTTCTTTAAGATGGATCTATAATAGTGCCCCTAATTGTTAAAAGCATTGTGTAACTTTTATGTTGGAGGGGCTGCCAAATGCTTTTCTCCATGAAGATGTTATTGCTTTGCCTGGAATGTTTCACAATATGGTATTAAACCTTTCCATCATCATGGAGACCAAACCGGACCAACTTAGAGGTCAAATCTGTGGAGAGGCGACCGCATTCATAGTCAGAATGCCTGTTTTTCTTGGTATTTCTGAGCTATAAAACCACCTGTAATAGAATAAATATAAGGTATGGCTGTTTAATGTCATACTATCTAACATTCCATGCAGAGCGATAACATATCCATAGAAACAAGTGACAGACTCCTAACCAAAAAGTTGCACAATGTCCCTAATTGTTAAACTAAAATTGCTGCTTTATTTAAGGAAAGTTGATTATTTTTTTTTTACATGAACACATTTTATTAAACTCTCTAACTACATTATTTTTGAGCTAGTAATTCATGTTATTTGTTATGTGGGGATAGTTTCAGGAAGTTGATAACATTTGTACTTCACCAAACAAATTAAATCAGCCGTTAAAGCAAACATTTCAAAAGAGGAAGAAGAACGTGTCAACATAGTACATTTGGGTGGCAACCAGTCCACATTTTAAGCAATACATATCATTAAAGATAGGAGCTGTTGAAAGAATCCTCCTCATAGTCGAAAGGGAGACTAAGATTTCTTTCCACCACAGTTTTATGCCATTAGTCTCTCTGACTTTAATATCATGGTTTGTGTTGTATTTCTAATTTGCCTACCCACTGCTTAGGTGAAGTTGAAAGAGATTAAACACTGGAGAATCTTACTTTAGTCACTCTTAGACTCGATTTGGTTGATTCAATACCCAGCAATTATTTAAGCACTAGTAAATATATATCTTCTCTGACTAGTATCTAAAAAAAGCATTTCACCTTTTTCTGTTTGATTATTTTCAGGGCACATTGAGGATTATCCATGTTTCGGTGGACCATGGAGAGACATGGAACATGGCCCAACTGCCCCCTGTTGGTCACGAACAGTTTTACTCCATTTTAGCCGCTAACGATGATATGGTTTTCATGCATGTTGATGAGCCGGGAGGTACAACTCATCCCTTCTAGTTTTACTTTCTATACCAAAATATTTTCTAAACCAGTTTCTTTGTTCTGTTTACAGAAACTGGATTTGGTACTATTTACGTTTCTGATGATCGTGGTACTGTGTACTCGAAGTCTCTGGAACGCCACCTCTACACAAACAGAGGGGGCGACACTGACTTCACCAATGTCACATCACTACGAGGAGTCTTCATTACCAGCATTTTGGCAGAAGGTAGCTCCAATTCTGAATCAAATGAAGTGTTAACACTGGCTAAAGCTCACATTTCCAGATAGTTCTCTGTTACATACTGCTGTGGTGGCTGGGTGTTGGGTAAATATTTAATTAGCTTCACGGTGTTGGATGTGCTGTCAGACAGGATCAAATGGCTGACACTTAAGCTAAAATGCCTCACAGCACTGGCCAAATCTTAACTCTTTCATTGCCATAATGCCTTTGATATTTATATCTAGTTTCTCACACATATTAAACATATCTGTCACTCATTTCAGATAACTCTGTGCAGTCTGTGGTGTCCTTCGATCAGGGCGGTGAATGGGTCCCACTACGGCAACCTGCCAACACCAAGTGTGACGCGACAGCCAAAGATCCCGACAAGGTACATGGGCAAAACTGGTTTGTCAAGGCCTCAGGAGGAACTAGTGACACAGTAACAGTAAATATCTTTACCTGACACAAGGACTGTGCCTATCAAATATGAATTTAAAACTAAGTCTATACATCACAGAACACCTCCACAGAAGTTAGGGACTTCCAGTTAAAAGTTCCAGTTAAAAGTTAAAAATGCCTTTAGGTCTGTCAGAGTTAAGAAATAGTCAGAAGGTTTTATCTTCTTACTATCTTCTGAATCTTACAGAATTTTTGCATCACATGACTCTTAGAAAGTATAACAAAGCATAACTGTGTAGATACATAAAAGAAATTAATACCCCAAGGCAGTGGTTCTCAAACTGTGGTACAGGTATCTCCAGCTGTACGTAAAGGGACTTAGGGGGTACTCAAGAAAGGTTTTAGCAAAAATAAAATTGCCATTTTGTCTATATCTTATACATCTTCACACACTTATCAAAATTAAGACAAAACTGGGACTAAACCTGGAACTAAAACTGGAAGAGGCCATTACTGGAACAGGACTAGAACACAACTATTCTCCTCTACATGAGGAGGAGTAATGTTCAATTCCTATAAATTCTTTTTGTGTCCACAGTGCAGTCTCCACCTTCACGCAGCATACAGCATCGCCATGAGACTCAACGTCCCCATGCTGCCTCTGTCTGAGCCCAATGCAGTCGGTCTCATCCTGGCTCATGGTAAAAATTAGTGTCTACATCTTATAAACATATGAAGATGTCTTACTGTCAGCCTGTATATCTTAATTATGTGGTGTTTTTATTTATATTAGTTACAAAGTGAAGTGTGCCAACAACACCAAAATCAGCATATTGCTATTATTACATAAGTTATGTGTTGTGATTTAGTAATTTTGCCTATCCTGATTTTACCAGATTATGTTGATGGCACCTGAACCCCAGTCTTATATTTATTGATCTCTACAGCTGCCCTAAAGTGTGTGTGTGCGTGTTGTCTCCATCAGGCAGTGTGGGTGATGCCATTTCCATCATGAAGCCTGATGTCTATGTGTCTGATGATGGGGGCTACAGCTGGATCAAAGCTCTGGATGGACCTCATCACTACGCCATCCTGGACTCTGGGGGTCTGTTGGTCGCTGTGGAACACAAATCCAATGAGCCCATCAACATTATCAAGTAAGAGCATGGCATAATACTTATATTTACAGTTAGCCAATATGCAATTTCTCCACTCTGGGAATAATGTGGGTTTGGTGGTGAGAATATGATATCATTTAATTGCTTGATTGTAAGATTTTTGGCACTTTAGAAAATGTATTACATGCATTTTTTTATAAAGTGATATTTCTGCTTGTAAATCATTTTACCTTTTTTTTATTTCACATTTGTCTTATACTTTAAACATGTCCTAATATGTAGAAGTTCAGTTTTAACAAATATGCCTAAATATCATTTCTATATACTCACCCCAAAAATATACAGATTAATTTGTCAGTATCGCCAACCCCTAGTTTTGAGTATGTTTTGTACTAAATATTATACTTTTGCATTTAACTTCCATTTAAAAATTATTTCGGAATTGTTCATGTAAAAACAGCAACAACAACAAAAAAAAGATTGCAGTTGCACGAGAATGATGTGCCAAACCAACACTAGTTGTACAGTTATAGTTTTGATGTTGGGGTCAAACACAGGCTGTTCTACTCTTCAGAGGATCTGGCTGCTGTTGGCCTGCTGTGCAATGATACATTTAGATCTGTGACCTTTGTGTTTTCATAGATTCTCCACAGATGAAGGGCAGTGCTGGCACGAGTACAACTTCACCAAAGAGCCCATCTTCTTCACAGGGCTGGCCTCTGAACCTGGGGCCCGCTCCATGAATGTCAGTCTGTGGGGATACAAGGAAACGTTCCTGGCCCAATACTGGATCTCCATCACCATCGACTTCAGGGAACTGCTCACCAGAGACTGTGAGTCCAGGGTAGCACTCTAATGCATTTGAAAATCTCTTGTTTTCAATTTTGAGTGATCTAATGCCCCTTTAATGTTATTTTATAATCTTTTGATTCGATCTGAGTATGCACACACAGCCTTTATTAACATTCGGCGGTGTCGAATTTCACTAGGTTCATTTTAAATAATTTTATTCATTATTTATGAAAAAACTATTGACACTCAAAGAAAGTGTAAAAATAAGAAAGAAATTTCATGTGTAAAATGGGGTCAATCTTTTACTGAATGTCCTGTCCTGTTCCTATTTCTCAACTACAATATGTCACTCTGAGAAGTGGGACACATGCCATCACGACTGTATCCTCACTCACTGAATACTCATTAATCCCATTTTGTATTTATCTGAATGGCAGAACAGCCACCTGTACATTGCTAATAGACTTAGATGTTTTCAGGTGGTGAGTCGGACTATGTGCAGTGGCTGGCTCATTCTGATGACATCAGTGACCCAAATGATGGCTGCATGCTCGGGTTCAAGGAGGAGTTTCAGCGTATGAGAAAGGACTCGGTTTGTTGGAACGGACGAGATTATGTTATCACCAAACAGCCCATCCCCTGTGCCTGTACCCTGGACGACTTCCTCTGGTGAGACAGAGACGACCGCAACTAACCTCACTGACATTTGATTATTAGACTGTATGGCTTAAACCAGTAAATATATGCGTATATATGTTTAGTGTTTATTTACATTAGTTTAATTGTTCATTATTCTGCTTTGTTCCTCCTTTTTAAAATAAATAAAATATAGCTGATATAGAGGCAGATAATGTTCCACTAGTCTAGCACAAGGGCCTTGCATCCCAGGAACTCTAAAATAACTATGAACAACTCAGTGTAAAGTTCAAAATATTTTATCGCCAGTGGGAGAGTGCTCGTTGATAGCTTTTTACCATCCTTTTGTCAAGGTCAGGTTTATTTTGGATATTTAATATGTTAATGTCAAATTGCTTTGCTTAACTAAGTGCCAATGCAGCCATTTTTAGACTGACTATTTGCTGCTATTGATCAAAAGTGATTGATCCTTTGTTTTCTCTCATTGCAGTGACTTTGGATATTTTCGTCAGGAGAACAGCTCTGAGTGTGTGGAGCAGCCAGATTTGAAGGGAAAAGTTCTGGAGTTTTGTCTTCATGGCAGAGAAGAGCAGCTACAGACCAAAGGGTAAGGGTGAGAAACAAGGATATAAATATAATGAAAGTATCCAAAACAACTTGAAATTTACACCAAATGGTTATTTAGCAAAGTAAGACCGTAACTCAGCATTGAACTATTGAAAGGCATTTTAATATGTTTGGTTGGTATTGTTCTTCATCAGGTTTTATTTCATCAAGGACCACAAATCCTCCATATATTAGTGAATTTTAGAAAATGGAACTTGCAGTTTGCATTTTTTTGTTGTCATGTAAACAACAAGCATTTATTTGCATGGCCTTTTTATTTAAATTAATGTTCTAAAACCTTTTATATCGATTCGTTCCCAGGCTGTGCGATTAACTAGTTCTAACTCGTCACTCCTAGAAAAGTAATTCAACTAATTTTTTCCAATTTTTAGCCATAATAAAGTAATTAGTTGATAACACAATTTTGATTTATATAAAAAGGTGTTTTTATATATTATATATTTATATATATTATATATTATTTACCTTTTCATCTACAGATACCGAAAAATCCCTGGTGACAAATGTGAAGGAGGACAGATGCCTGAGCGAAAAGAGATTGACCTGCGACAGCACTGCGTCAGTGACCTGGTTGAGCCCTCACAAGTCAACTCACTGGTACATTAACCATAAAATACAAAAATTTTAATAAACTGTAAACTGTATCATGGCTATACCGAGGTCCTGTTGTATTTTTGACAGGTTTCCAGTTCATCCAAATCAATGCCTGCTGTGATCACCTTTATTGTCATTATTATGCTGCTGAGCGTCGTGGCTGGAGTCCTCTTCATCAAGAAATACGTCTGTGGAGGAAGGTAGGTCTGAATTAAAAACCCAAACAAACCAGAAAATCATAAGCAGTTAGACATGAATTTTACATTTGCTACATTCTAGGCCAGGGTCAATGCTGTATTTTGTAAGTCCATCTTGTTTTTGAGTGTGCCATGTGATTAATAAGAGATTCTTAATTTAATTCTATGATATAAATCTCATATTAAATTAACCTCATGTGACAAGTCTTGAATTTTGAAGGTCATTTTTGTTTGCTATATTTGGCTAGGGGTAAACCTACTTGTAATACAATAACCACATTATTTTGGACAGTAATGTTCCTGTTTTTAAAAACAATATACTAAATGATCAAACTTTTCTCTTTTAGATTCCTGGTGCACAGATACTCAGTACTCCGGCAGCACGCAGCAGAGAACGGTGACCTGGACGAGCCTTTGGAGACCAACCACACACGTAACGGCAAGATCGAATTTCACGATGATTCAGATGAGGTATATGCACATGGTTACTTATTTAACACACTGTATGTGCATAGTGTTGTGTGTATCACTGATGTGGAAAAAAAAGACAAACTTTAATGCATTTTTAAACCAAACAAATATTTACAATTAATTTTACTGAGTGAGCAACTTTATAAATGACTACAAATTAAATAATTGGTTAATTAAGATTAAGACATTTATTAGGGTTTGTGTATGACCTAAATTTGATTAAAATTTGTTAAAATGTAAAACCTCAAAGACAAAGTTAATATTACCTTGCAAAATGCAATTGTAGGGTTACTACTCTAGCTTCGACCCCAATTTAGTTTATTTTATATTTATTTTTTCCTTCATGTTTGTTGGTTAGCTTTACCTTTTAATCACAAAAAACTCCCACATCTGCAAAAGGCTGTTATAAAAGCCACCATTGTTCTTCATCATAAAACAATTGTGCTCTTGGTGGTAATAAACAAAACTCCCCCAAAACACTGCTGTTGACTTTTTCCTAAATTGAGTTTGGAGGAATTCAAGCCACATGTTCTTTTTTTTTTTTCTTCAAAGTTTGTTCAGCAGTGTTTTGCCTGGCGACTGGGCAAATAAGCTCCTTATGAAAGTGTTGATGAATATAGAGTCCTACTGTTGCTCATAAAGGGACACTTGATAAAAGTAAAGCATTTTTACTGGAACAAAAGGAGTGTACTGAGATAAAGTTCTTTTTAATGTCTTTTATAAATTTGTTGTCATTACCATCCACAATAATTATCCTGATAATAGTAATAATAATTGAATAATTAAAGCTGCGCGCGGCGATGGTGGCCCTCGCCCCGGCGCGCACTCCCGTTATACCATGTCCGTTATTTAATTTTGCTCATAATCATGCATAGAACTTATTCCCTGAACTTGGTAATCCAATAATGTTGACATGTCATGTCTATTCTAGGGGGCGCTATGGAGTTCATTTTTCAAATGTTTTATAGTGTATTATATTCAGGCTGGGATCAGGCATTAGTGATTCAAATTTCAGCACAATTGGATTAAGCCTGTGTCTGTAATCATTTTTTTTATATTTTTTGGGGGAGTCCTGGCACCCCTGCTGGCCAACTGTGAAAAATGCCCCATGTCCGTAATGGACTTTTTTGCTTGTATTAAAGTGTAGAATTTAATCTCCGAATTTGGTCCAAATCCGATAATGTTGACGTTTCATGTCTATGGTAGGGGGCGCTATAGAGTTCATTTTTCATATGTTTTATAGTGTATTATATTCAGGCCGTGATCAGGCATTAATGATTCAAATTTCAGCACAATCGGACTAAGCCTGTGGGTGTAATAATTTTTTAACTATTTTTTGGGGGAGTCTTTGCGCCCCTGCTGGCCAGTGGTGAAAAATGCATCATGTCCATAATGGACTTTTTTGCTTGTATTCATGTGTAGAATTTAATCTCCGAATTTGGTACTAATCCGATAATGTTGATGTTTCATGTCTATGCTAGATTTCATATTTCATTACATTCAGGTCTGGATCACACAACTGTGATTTGAATTTGAGTTCTCTAGGACAATGCCTGTCAATGCCAAAAACGTGGAAGATTTGAGTGAAGCTATGTCTGTAGATGTGATATGTCAAATCTGAGCTCATTTGGACTAAACACCAGGGACTAGTAGCATTGTGCACACACCCAAGTCAAAACGGCGGTGAATTTTTGATCCAATATAGCCGACTTCCTGTTTGTCATAGGGGTGCACAATGTTTGGCTTTTTTGCTTGTCTCCTTGAGTTCTATCACTGCTCCGAATTTCGTGACCTTACACCAAAATATGCGTCTCAGACTCCCATTCATTTCAAAATGTGCATTTTCAAGGAGGCGCTGTTGAATGGGGGGGCTTTGGGCATTGTCGCGATGCCCATTTTATCAAATTTTTCACCGGACCGGTCGATCTAATACCGGTTTGGGGACTTTTCGTCCATGTTCAGGGGGTCAAACATGCGATTCAATGTGGGGAAAAAGAATTAAAAAACAAAACAAAAAGAAACCGACGAAGAACAATACCCCTCGGGGCGAGGGCCAATTATTATTACATTGGATCTATATCAAAGTTTTGGTTTACCATGTAATCCTCTTCTTCTTTGTATTTGCATGATTTGGGAAGTTTGAGAAGGAGTAGATTATCACTGCCCTCTATTGGCTGTAACAAAAGCAAACAGTTACTTCAAATTACAGCACTGTGGAATTTGAAATATATTGTTTTATTATCAGGTTGTTGGTGGGATTCACTAAAATAAATTAACATACTTACAAACTATAACTTAAATTGTCATTATAAGCAGTTTTCTTTGTACTTGACCTATATTTGAAGACCCAGTGTAAACAGTGTGTCATGCTTGTGTTCGGTTGCCTAACATCTTTGCAATGTTGTTTACTCTTTGTATGCAGGATCTGCTTGAATAGCTGGTGTAACCTGTGCTTCAGCTGAGCTCCATGTTACCGGGCCTTCCTCCCTGGGGCAGCCTCTCTGTCTTCAGCCTTCTCTCTTTCACCTTTAGTGTGCTGCAGCCGGGGACAAACAAAGGGCCACTGATGTCATCTCCAAATATGAATGTACAAAGGCGCCCGGGACAGAGGCCAGAGGGACACAATACTGGAGGATCTGAAGTACTCGTGTTTCTCTTCAATTTCTGATTCTGTTGATTGAGTTATTTATTGTAGGGTCTTAAGCAGAAATCTGATCTGTGAGCAGAGCTCGGCCTTTGGGTTAGATGTGATGGTTCTTATGGGACATGCCTGTTGAAGACACTGGTTTATGGCACTTGTAAATAAACTTTTTTTTGCTTTTTCTGTTGTGATACAGGAACATCATGTTGAAAGATGGGTCAACTCCATTAGGGTTGCACCATGAGAGTAGTACATGTTTTATGCAGTATGATTGGAAATATTTTGATAACATTTTGGCATGGGGTTTGGGTACCAAATGATGACAACAATACATTGATTTTGGTTCTTTAAAATCACTTGCAAAAATATTAAAAAACACAGTTACTTTTGCAGTATAAATAATCTCTAGCAACACTGAGTTTACCATTAGTTCTGTAAAACATTTCCAGCCCATTTCCCAATTCTTTTAAAGTCACAGTGTGTAACTTTTTAGCCAAATATAGACTAAAATAAAACTATGTCCTTATTTTGGTTGTTTATTGCACTAAAAACTATAAACCTGCATCTTGGTTGTTTCCATGGAAACGCTGCTATTTTGGCTGTAATCTGCCACAGTATGGCACAAACCATATCTATCTCCATGGAGAATATTCAGAAGCATGGTTTTAACTTTCTGTTTCCTTTGAATCATCATCAAAAAGTTACATACTGTAGCTTTAAGTAGTATTAAACATTTGAAGCCAAGAGTGTGTTAGTCTCTGGTTTTCATCCCCATTTATTTTATTGATGAGACATTTTGTTAAGGGTAAACTACCTTTTTGCACCAACTTTAAGAGCAATAACATTTTCCCATAAATTAACTTGTTTTCTACATTTTTTGAGCCATTTAAATTATTATTTTCTCAAAGCAGAAACCCAGTTGTGACCATATTCATCTTTTAAAAAAAATGTAAATGTTGTTTGTGACCCAAGCTTTTTCCAGCATTTTGTATACCAAATTTATGTAAAATGTGAGGTTCAGTTGCTAGAGGAAATGCAATATTTGTAGTTAATCAAATATTTTTACAACAACGACAATGAGAGAAAAGCACAAAAACATTACGCAGAAGTTAGTTTATTTAGTCTGGCTAATAATTTTTGAATAGGCCTTGAGATTTTTTATTTTTTGAAGGAATGACAAATGATGTAGAGATCTGAATCTGTCAGTGTCACTCGTATTGTTGTTATGTGTCTGTCGTCTTCGGGTTTAATTTATTACAAAGAGGTAAAGAGTGCAGTGAATCGTTTAATGAGGTTGTGAAGAAGTGCCTGTTGTGTGGATACTTTCAGTTTGTAGCTTGAGTTTAATGTAATTCGTCATGTCTTGCTGCTCTTGTCTAAATGAGACAACATAAAGAATTTCCTGGCTTCCGACAATAAATGCATGTTAATTTTAAATGTTTTAAATTTACACTGAAATTGAAACTGTGCTCAGATGATCTTGATTGAATACAGGGTTATATGTAATTAGCTGCTAGACACTGGATGCCTCTTTGTGAAACCATTTTAAACGCTTGTTGCATTTTGTGAAATTACTACGTCTTTTCTTACAGTTTGAGATCTGTATAAATTTGCTTTTCTGGTTATGTAAATATTCAAGTTACAACTTTGTATCTGCTGTTTCTCTCCATTTTTCTTTACAGTTTTAAATAAATTCACATTCCTGTAATATTGTCTTTTGATTCTTTAATTTGAACCCATTGGCATTAGACTCACGCTGGACTAACAACTACGCATAGGCACTAAAATAAAAGTATAATCTTCATTTTCAAGCAGGATATTATCTTGGTTCATCTGCTCCCTTGTCTCTTTTACTTGTTGTGCAGGTATTGGCCGCAAGATGGCGCCCAGTCATTGTCCTCATCGGGTGGACTGGAATAGTGTTAGCTGGGCTCAAAAACTTGAGCTGAGACAAATCCTAACAAGAAGTTCACTTACTAGGGCAGCATAGGTAAATTTACAAAGAAAGTTTCAAAACTGATCGAATGTTTTTTTTAAATGATAGTAATCATGGTGTACTATGGCATTTAAATTAAATAATATACCCCCCAAAAGATGTCCAAAACCCTCAACAACCAAAATTCGCAAAGCTAGTGTGAGGTTGTATACTTTCACATCTGATTTTCACAAACACAAACCAAAGATTAATCAAATATGTCATATTTTCCTAGTTAATGTGGGACAGCATCCTGCATTATGGGGTGTAACAGCCATACAGGGTTGGTTGTAACAAGTGAATAATTCCAATTTAGTGATTAATAAATTTGGAGAACAATACGTGAGGTATGTTGTTACCTTCTTTCTTACTTGAAATAGAATGTAAAAAATGTCATGAGCAGCCCCGCTCCCCCCTTTATCAAAATGTACAGTACAACAATCAGTATTTAGTGTAGTTATGAACGTTAAAGATTACATATAAAACAAGCACATTTGAACCACCTACTACACCAGCTAGCATCTCATTTATAACATGGTTTTATTTACCAAAGATAAAAACACAGCAACAGTGGAGCAGAGATCTCCCATGAGCCTCTCTGCTTGTCTGCCTGACTGAGGAAAGGATCTCGTAATGGGATTATCTATTCTCGGGACAGGGGCAAAACAGGAGAGAATGGACCTCAGCAGGACATGTAAAAATATCCATGTCAGAGTGAGTAAATGACACATCAGAGCCGCTTGGTCAGTTTGGTTGCCAAAAAAAAAAGGACTCTATTGGACCTGACTGGCCTCTGCCCTGCCAACCCTAAACAACAATGAATGCACAGGTAAGTCACGTGATATAAAATGTACAGCGTAGTGATGTTTATTTTGATCTGACGGGACTTACTTAAGTTAAAAAAAGTACTGCTTGACTACATTCAGTATATTCTTTTTCAGTAATGTTGCTTTTTATCTATCCCAATTTATAGATTTGATATGTTATTACCTGCCTGCACGTTTTGGTTGCAGCAGAGGTGAAATTGTTTTTGTTTTATGAGACAGTAAAGTTTATGTTATTTGTTCATTTTAGAAATATACAGAAATCTAACTAATCTAACTACAATAAGTTGATTAGAGCAAAGATACATATTTGTGTCTCCCAGGCTGCATCTTCAGAGACAAATGGCATCTGTGCCTCTGCAATGGCAGGCAGCGATGACAGTGATGAAGGTAAGATACATTTAATAGTATTCAACCACACAATCTATGTATTCAACAAAGGGACTGGGATCACAGATGGGACAGACTACTGTCCTTCTGGCCTGAATTCTGAGTGAATGCTTTAAATTCAAAACATGCTTTTTCTTTAAAATAGGAATTACTTTTTATGTCCTTGTCAACAGAAACCAGTCAAGAGGAGGAGATGATCACAAGCTGGAACGACCTGTCCATTGTAGAAAGAGTCGGACTCAATAGGTGGCAAACAAACATTGGATTAATGTAATATTTTTTATTGTTAAAATTATGTTGAAAATGTTCTTCTTATTTGAACAGTTTGGAGATGTCGGAAAAAGATGTAGAGGTAAGGTCTATGGTTAATGGTCTAGATGTGTGAGCATAGATTTCTTCTTGTATTTTGATGGTATTGTTCATTTGAAAATGTTCTTCTGTCTGTGTCTGGAGGCGGCGTTCTGTCAGATCACCCTGGCTTTCCGCTGTGACCAGTACACACTGAAACAGAGGCTGCAGGCCGAAGAGCATGCACGAAACCTGGCCGAGGAGAACGTGCAGCTGGAGCTGGCCCGGGGCAGAGAGACCCTGGAGGTACAGACATGTGTGGGACCCTGAAGAAGGTGTGAATGTTTATTTACAGGTGTAAATGCATGTTTTACAGATGCTAAAGGCTCTGTGTCTAGACAGTAGACGCAGTACAATCCTGCAGAAGCTGGAGCTGTCTCTGGACATTTTGGGCGGGACAGTGGAGCGGATCTCTAACACAGCAGAGGTGCTGGGGGCAGTGCACCAGGTCTGCAAGGGACAGTTTTAGAAATACATTTTCTTTAAACAAACAATATCCTCTGTAAAATGTTGCCGACATGAGAAATATAGATGATAGTTTACCTTTGAGTTGAGTTTTTTTTACCCAATATTGACGGAACATTATTAATGCTGCAACTCAGAGTTGCCTTTTATATACGTACCTTTAGGAGGCACGTGTGAGTCGAGCGGTGGACCTGATGGTGGCCCATGTGGAGAACCTGAGGAGGAAATACGAAAGGAACCTGAGCGAGCTTGAGGAGGCACGGAGACAAGTCCAGCTCAGGACAGCACATAGACATGCCCGCAACAGAGAGTCTCCAGGTCTGTTTATACAAGCCCACCAGGTGCTGTTATTGATTTTTTACTGATAATTATTTTATTTTAGAATCTGAGGAGAATAGAGACAGTCACAGACTTACAAAGCAGGTTGGTGAAATAAAGGCTCTTATTTATTTTTAGATACATTTTCCTAATTTTTCTTTGTTTTTTAGGGTAGTCTTCGTAGAAGAATCAGCGCCTCTATTATTACAAATCAGACAAATGTAAGAAATCTGTGCAGTTTGTCACCTTTTTATAGTTAAAGATGGTTATAATATAATTCCAGTAAAAATGTTAATAGGTTAATATTTTAAATGCAGATTTGGTCCTAACCGCAAAGATCAAAATTATAGACAAAAGTGAGTGTCCAGTATGGTGTAATTTGCACAGACTTGTTTTTGTTTGTGCAGGAGAAGAAGAAGAAAGAGAGGAAGCGTGGGGGTAAAAAGTCCTCCTCGTCGTACCCCTCGCCCACTCCCAGCTCTGAGTCCAGCATTTGTGTGCTTGACAGCAGCTTCACTGATGACCGGTAACTATCACCAATGAATATTCTTTGATCAGAACTATACGCATTTATATTATGTGCTGTACCTACAATACATTTATACCTGTTCACATACAGGTACATGAACCGACTTGTTTTTTCTCCACACAGGACCCCTGATCCAACAGAAACGGCTGAAGCTCATTCAGAAAGTGACATTATAACTCCTCCTGTTGAACCTCCTCCTGTTCTAGTAGTGAAGCCTCCTTCTGACCCAAAACCAGAAGATCTGCTCCCTAAACCAGAGTCTGCTGCTAATGTATCAAACAAAAAGTAAAGAACCTTATGTAAAATATATGATATACATAGGCAGTGGACTTAAATGACAATGTAGTAATAGATAACATTTGAATCATGGCAAAATAATGACTGACGTATTAAAAGAAATTTATATTTTTAAAATTTAATTAACCCCTTCAGTATGCCCTGGTATATTTGGTTTGGTCTCACAACCTTATGTTTTTGTTTAGTCTTGACTTTTGTACTGTTACACCTGGATCTCACTAAGCGTTATCCTCTGTACCTCCTTTGTTTTTATTAATTAAATTTTTGTGTTCAGCTCCACAAGTGAAACTCTTCGTCAGCGACACAGATGGAGAGCTGCTCTGGCTCGAAAGAAATCTGACAGAAAAAATACACTTCTCAACCAAAGGACTCCAGCTGCCAGGTGAGATACTCTTTTTGAATCCACAATATCAAAGCTGCATCTTTTGTAACTTGTCTTCTCCTCAGGTGTGGCTCTCAGTGCAAAGGGACACACTGGATGTACAGGTGCCGCTGGGCTCTTCTCTGCCTTTATCTGTCTGTATTTGTCTGTTTCATCATAATATTTTACTACTTATTATTGCAATACGAGGATTCTGAGTCTTACTAATGGCATATATTGTGTGTATGTGTGTGTGTAGATTAAACCATAAATCTAACTTTTTAAACATAGCCTCTTGACTTTTCAATCATTTTAGGCACAAAACATACTGAACTCATTTTATTATAAATATACAAAAAATATCAAAACTGATACTTGGTTAGTAACAAAATACCTTATTGCAGTCTGAACATTCAATAAACCACCTTCAGTTGTGATTAGTATCAGTCAATAACTGTTAGCTTAGTTCTTTCTTTTATAGACACAATAGTAGACAATAAAATGCAGTTGTACACAATGATTTTGAATTAGCAAATCCATGCTAGTTATGCCACAGTAAAGAACCATTTTAGCAGAAGAGAGCACATGCCAGGTCCTTCTGTCCACTATTTTACTGCCTATATTCACATAATATGTATCGATTTACAAGAGAGAGAATATATACAAATGTTAGCACTGAAATAGAGGAAACATTAAATTAAAGATAAATAACATAAAATTAAAATTATATTAGGAATGGGCAACTCTTTACCTTATAACTACTGCAGGTGAACTTAGTGTGCAAAAAAATGTCATCTAGGTCCATTGTTGACATGTTAAAATCACCTTCACTGCCTATTTTAAAATAATATAAATAAAATGGCATATGACCATTACATTTAAATTAATAGAAAGAGAAATGTGCTCTTCAGTATACAGACATGTTTTTGACACATCTTTGAACAAACCATCTCATAGAGAGTCCATGTTGTTAATAAATACACATAAATAATCATAGGTCCTTTTAAACGAACTCCATAGTTTAAACTTGGCTGATGATCTCTGAGTCTTGAGCCACAAACCACTGCAGAGGAGTCCCATCCGCTGCTCTCTGGAGTACCAAGTTACCCGAGCCCTGGAGAAAACATATAATTTAACAATTAGTCAGCTACTGTATCTCAATATTATATTTAATTATTTTATTTGGAAATGAAATGTAAGACTGTTTTATTAATAACTGCAATTAATTACAGGTGAACTAGGTAACGTTCTATTTTGTATTTTTTCAAAAACAGAAAAACGAAAACATTTTGTATGCATTATACATGAAAAATATGCATTCTTGTAGGGTCACCCCTCCACAGATCTAACCTATAACTTGACCCAGGTCAAGTTATAGGTTAGATCTGTGTCTTAAAGCCATAAAATCTGCACGAATACAAGCACTTTGCGGACCCCAAAAGGAAAATGTACCTTTTAACAAAATTATTGTGTACACATACATATATCATTTTAATTGTGTTTTAGTTAACAAAAGTTAATAAAAATACCGTGATACTAACCGGAGTAAATGGGGGCATACGTGGTGACGTGGGACTGGTGATGCCTTCTTCCCCGTTTGGCCTTAACTTCTGCTGCTGGTTCCTCTGGTGCCAGGACTTGAGTTCCTCAGACACTATCTCTCGGGGCAGTAGTCTGAAGGCATGGTTGGGGTATTCTTTCAGTGATGGGGTCCTCACCAGCCTGTACGGAGGAGGGGGTTTCAGGGTTCTCCTCGGTGACACTGGTGCCTCCTGGCTTTGTCTTTGAGCAGTTGGGACAGGTGGGGGTGACAGAAAGCGCTTATTGACACCCAAATCTTGAGGAGAGAGTGGGCTATCCAAAACATCCTTACTCCCTTGATTCTGCTTCAAAGTCTTATTATTTGGAGATGGGCTGGAGACTGCTTTCTTGGCTCCGTAATGGAAACCGTAGGGAGGGGGGCACAGTTTGGGGATCTCTGTGGGGCCTTCCCGTCCTGGAGAACTGATGTAGGAGGAAGAGGAGTGCTCGGAGCTGGTGTCCTCTGAGCTGGACTGTGACAGGCGCAGGGGTGAGTACTGAGGGGAGCGCAGGATAAACTCAGGGCGACGCTGGGGTAGTCTGCCACGGCCTTTGTTACTGTCTACACTCAAGGGCTTGCTCTTGGGAAGCCTAGAAATGTACACAAAAATAAAAAGTTAAACCAGTACTTTAGCTGACACTTGAGTTACATTGTTTGTTTCAAAACAAACAAACAAAATAAACAAACAAATCAAATCAAGATATATTTTTACCTTACTGCAACAACGCTATGTTGTAATTGATATATGTATATTTAACTCTCTCATAAGTAATTCTGAAGCCAAAATAATAAGACAACTGAAGAAGTTTAGGTGAATATCTTGTAGTAAAAAGAATCCTTAATTTAAGTAGTGATACGACTGCTTCTTTGTCTGGACTAAACTAAAATATTTCTTACATTACAGTAGAATAGGGAACTATGCATTGAATTAAACTGTGGTTTCTGTCAGTAGTCCACTCACCTGAATGACTGGGAGAATTGGCGACGCACATGCAGCTCCGGGGTAGAGGGGGCGCTAGTGGAGTGGCTGTACCTCAGGGACGAGCTCTTTGTGAAGGGGGAAGGAAGAGCCCTGGTGCCGTCTGAGGACACATGGGCCGGACTACTGCAACAACAGGAGATCAGATCAGATTAGATTAGATTAAAGTCAGTACTTTCAATTACCTGATCCTAAAACAAAGTACTATACACCACACTATAACGTAAAGGTGCACTATGTGTAGGGGTCACTACATTTATGACGGGGTCAGTTGCCTGATTGTCTCTATGTATTGCATTGTCTGGGATTGGTAATTGTTTGGAATGCTCCACAGTGCAGCATTACACTTATATTTCCTGCATTTACACAGCTATAGATGTTTTTATTGCTTGAAAAACATGCTTTCTTTGTGAGTGGGTTCACCTCTCCATAGTGCTGACTTGTAACTTGTCCTAGTAGCATCTCCATGGAAATAAATAAATTGAATTTGAAACTGTGGAACATTCCAGGTAAACTGTAACATCTTTATGAAGACCCTCCACCAGCAAAGTTACACCTGAAGTGTTGAGAGTACAAATTGCCTACCTGGACCTGCTGCCACTGTTCTTCTGCAGTTTGCTGTTCTTCTTAATGGGATGGTCCAGACTGGACTCTCTCCAGGGGGAGCTCTGGATGGGGGTGCGCTCATTGTCCACACTGTTCAGGCTGGAAGACACGGGACAGGACAGCAGAGGTTTGGGGGGCAGATGGAGGGGGTCTGAGAAGGGATGTCCCATAGCTGGAGGGGACACTGGGCAGGGCGAGTCCACATCTACACACAAAGACAAGCTTAGTCAGATTTACCATTGTTTAAAAGAAAGCCAGTTATTATGTATTGATTTGTGCCATCAGTCACTGAAGTTTTGTAATTAGCACTTAAAATGTTACGTTATCAAGTCTCATTGTTGTGTGTATAAAGATAACATATGGCTACTTCTAACATACCACATTTATAAAGTTATAATAATCTAATTACACTCTTCTTTTTTATTTCTGTATAGGTATAATTATTTACCTTTGACTAAATGCATTTATATTATGAAGCCTAGATGTCCAATATTAATCCATCCATTTTAATAATTTTCCAAGACATTGGTTATGTTTAGCTGAATATCAGTTATTTTAACTAACCTTCATCCAGTGCCACTACATCAGAAAGGGAGCTGTCATCTGACATATTCAAATCTGTAAAAGAAATAAATGGTCATTAAATCTAACACATATTATAATACCCAGTGTCTCCTGTGGGGGCAGTGTGTCCCCTCACCTCTGTGCTGGTTAGATGAGATGATTCGTGGTGAGGTGCATTCACTCTTGACCCTGTGCTGGAACACAGCCTCCTGCAGCTCCTTCACCTTCTTCTCCTCCCGTTTACACTGCTGCGCACGGCTCTTCTTCTGCGGTTTACTCAGGTTGTCCTCCAGGGAAAGTTTACGAGCGGCCTCATAAATCTGTCGTTGCAGTGCTAGCTCAGTCTCCAAGGCGTGGAGCTCAGAGTCCTGCAGGGAATTTCAACCATTAGTTAAGGGTTGCTTTAGAAAGTAATAGATTTCAAGTTTATGTTTATCATGTTTGTACCTGTTTTTTATTTGAATGAATAAGGTCTTCATCCAGTTTAAAAGAGGCTCCAATCCTCCTTCGAACACGAGGGGGCTTCTCTTCAGGCATCAGGGGATAGTCAGATGGAAGTTTACCAGTCAGCTCCTGTGAAGATGGAAAAAAAAACCAAAAAAAAAACATGTTTTATCTATATGGCCTGACAGAATAAAACAAGTGTGAAACACTAATACCAAAGACCACTTTATGCCACTGACACAAGAGTCTTTATGTATGTGTGATAATACCAATAAACCCCTTTTAACTGATTCATATTATAAATGAGCCTTGATAAAAAAAATAGTTACTACAATGAGCGGTATCTATGTTAATTATTCAACCCAGTTCAACACATGTTAATGGAACATATGTAATTAAAAATAAAGAAATAAAATAAACATCTGATAAAAACAAAACAAAAAAACATTTAAAAAAGATTTGATCTCTGATTTATTAAACAATTAATTGATATAGTAATTATAGTCTTCCGTTCTCGTATTACCTAAACATAATATGGGTTAATACATACTGCCTCTCTGATGCACAGTTTTCGAAGCTCCAGCAGACACAGCTCTAGCCGCTCCTCCAGAGCCTGGTGTTTGAGTTTCAGAGCTCGTGTGTGGGTCATACCATCCTTCAGTGGAGAAGTGGGGCTGTCCGGGCCTGCAGTCACAAAACATCTGATCATACTCGCTCTGATGATTAATTTGTTTTTACTGTAGTATTTTCATGACAGGATATGTATTCTATTTCACATGAAGTGCATCTCATTAGGACTACATGATATGAGAAAAAGGAAAACCTCTATTTGATATGTTTTGTATCATAATGATGATATTATTGCACAATAAATTTTTACTTAAATTTGAGTTAAATTAAAACAGAATCTGCCTTATTTTATATTTTATTTTCACAAACATTAACTTTCAGTCAGATGGAGAACTTTGTGTTGTTGCAAAATATACATTTTCTTATGATTTCAATGAATGCGTCAGTCAGTAATGCAATATGGATGTTTAGGCGATATATATTTTGTATCCCTACAACTTACACCAAATCAGTTAATTTCAGTGTGACAAGACAAGACAAATGACTTCATGACTTGACATGAAATTAACAAAACATAATTAAAAGGAAACCAAAACATCAGGATATTTTGCATGTCAGGATCTGGGAGTCTATGAGGGTCAATTTGTCAACATCAGATCCAATTGTCATGTAAATAAAGTCAGATTCTGTCATGTTTTGTAAAAATAGATGAGTGCTTCTTACCTGAGTGCACAATGATGCCACTGTCTGTATCACTGATCTCCTCTTTGCTCTCAATGGCCGTCATCTTCACTGCTGTTTAGTGGTCTTCTTCAAACTTGAAACCTGTAAAAGTGAGTTTGTTTTGGTTAAATTGTTCATTTAGACTTTGTTATATTCTCTTTCTCCAAATGTCCCATTCATCCTGCCTCCTGCCGCTCTCCCATTACAAAAGTGACGAGTGGCTTCTTTCACACACTTACCCATTCAGTTCCCCCTCCCTCCCCTTGCACCTCTGCACCCCATCACAAAAGACCCACCCCCACGGTTCACTCGGCACATGTGCGGGGGTTAATCCGAATCTAGGGTGCCATGGAGACGGTGCACTGTGTGGTGGAAAATTTGGGAGCGTGTGGCTACGAAGGCGTGCCTGTCAGGGGGGCGTTTTAAAGGACCCAAAAAAGGAAAGCAGATGGCCTAAGGAATTACCCCACTCATGGACTGCACCTGTTCCCCCATGTGCCCCTCCCATAAGGGCTATTCAACCAGTGTCCGAGGACCCTCTGGGGACTTTGAAGTGGAAGAATGTCTCAATGTGGGGCATGTCCACACAGCTTCAGATCACACAGATACGGGTCGACCTGTGCGTCAATATATCATCACTTTGGAAAAAATAAAAGTGCAATTCATGTTTATGGCCTGAGCTGGGTAATATGAATTAAAGGTGCACTGTGTAACTTTTCTGGTGAAGGGTCTGCCACCTGCTTTTCTCCATGGAGATGTATCCATGTTATAGATGTTATGTTATGTTTCCTAGAATTCCCCACAGTATGACAGTAAACTTATCAATCTTGCATTTATTAATTTACATGTGTTTCTATTGCTCAAAAACATGGATTCTTATTATGAGTGAGGTCACCTTTTCATAGTATCTGGAATCTGGCCTGGTAGAGATTGACAAGTTTAATGCCATATTGTGGAACATTCTGGACAAAGCAAAGCACAGAGACAAGAAGGGTGTGACTCTTTAACCAAAAAGTTACCCCGTGCATCTTTATGTTCTGTTTGAAATCCTGGTTTAGTCCTGATTTAGACTTGGTTCAGACTTTGTTTCAAACATTCAGATCTGGTTTGTTATATAGTCCTTTATTTCACTAGGTTAGTCTTGGTTATAGACAATGTTATGTGGTACTTCTGTTTTTACTGAATGACAGAGCAACAGCATATGAAAAAAAAATTATAAACAAATGAGCTTGCACTGTTTAAGGCTATTGCACTCAATATGTCAAGAGCTTCTTCTAATAAAGCCTTGTTTGTGGTATCACACTTTCTAGGTCAATTATTTTCTAGCAGCTAACCACAAACTCTGAGAAAAGAGGCCAATGGATCACAAGAGACTTCACCAAAGCCTGGAATATACTTATGAATATGCACAATTTGGTGTTTTCTATGTCAGGAATAACAACAAAAAACGAATTGAGGTGATCCATTGAGAACTGCTTATTTGATCATATACAGCTGAAAATAACTTTATCCCAGTTGCTATGAAATATGACTTGAGAAATTAATAAAACAAAAATTATGATTTAACAGTTGTAGCTCTCATTTATTATTATAAGTAGTAATTGTGAGAAGAGGAAGTTCATACAGTTGTAAATCCCCAGCTCTGGTCCCATCCTCTGTTTGGAGATCTGTATCGGCTTCTTCCTGTAGAGATCAGGAAGTAGTGCACAAAACCTTCCTCACATGGGATATTACTGAGTATGTGGTACAGCTGTAGTCCCATTCAATACAACTGCTCATGTGAACCGGTGCTGCTATGAGTCACACAATGAAGAACGGCCAGCTCCAGTCAGTAAAACAACTCTGCAACAAAGGCTTTATATCCACCTACAGGCCTCAATAAGCTCTGTATCTGCTGATGGGGACTGATCTGGGTTGTGCAAATGTTGTGATTGCAGCTCCACACAAACTAGAGCTTATAACAAGACACATGAGAGAGGGTTGTATTACAAAAAAGTGGTGGACAATATTGACTAAAATTATTATGAATGGTTGTTTTGGGGAGGATTCTCCAGATGATGTGTTTCCACTTGAAATGTGCTTAATGACTCCATTGTGGTTCAAGTATTGCACAGATGTGAGTTGCAAAAGTACAAGAATAGGTCTATAAATTTTAATCTTTTTGATAGCCACTGGCCTTCACAAAATTAAAAATTGGCATTTTTATTTCAATATTTTCTTGTATGTAGACTTAATATTGCCTCCCTCTATGGAAGCTAAGCTTAAGATATGCTTTATTAAAAAATACATTTAGTCTAGTACATTTTACTACTGCTGCTTTGCTAATGCCTAAATCTTAAAGTTGTTTTAAGTTATATTCTTTATTTAGAAACTCTGATTTATTGTCAGATGCATATACATTGTGTAAGTTGCCTTTTATGTTTCATTTATTCAAACAACGAGTTTTACTTCTACTTTTAGTTGAATAATATTTTTTAAAACAATACTCCAACATGTATACTTTTACACAGAACTGACACAAACCAACATCCACAGTCCTCTGTGTTAATCACAGACAGGCGGTGTATGTGGCTTTAGCCTCACACCCTATAAGTCTTGTGTGGAGACTTTCACAACAGTGTCTGTGGTCTCGGCCCAGGCCCAGTCATGAGTGGGAGGTGGGTGGTTTCTGGTAAAGAGCATTAGACATTAATTCACCTAAATTTGAGACATGGGTGTTGAAATTATGATGTTACAATGTTGACAGAAGCAGTAACTGGAACACAAGATTTGGTCAATAGACAAGAGAAAAAATAGTGATGTAGTAATGAACTAGTTCTGTCATGATAGTTACTATGTTGACTTATCGTTCAACAAATAACAGATGCAGCAATACTTGCTAGAGGTTAATATTTATTGTGGACACTTTTTCTTTGTAATTTTTCTGTGCTGAACAAATAACTTCTAGGACTCATTATAGATACAAACTAACCACTAAAGTGTTTCAGCCTGTTATTTATTTATTGCAGCTCATGTTTATTTTTACGATTTTGTACCCTACATTCCAAATTTTCAGAGAAATAATCCTGTTTTATATTATGTCATTGGCATAAATTTGTTTCATTGTTTATCGTCTATAATTTTCAGTAATACATCGCACATTTGTTGTTGTGACAGGCCAATGATTAACTCTTATTCAAAAAGTCAAAACTCTTTACAGTTAAATTCCTCCTCTTTGTTTATAACTGCAGGGGCTCTTAGAGAAGGTATAGATACATTACAATTGCCTTTAAGATGAAAGCTATGCCAGTCAGCTGTCACCTTATTCCACGTGGGATTATTCCAGTTTGACTGACAGCTCCCCATTGCTTCCATCCTTGAGGACATACTTTGAAATTCTACAAACAGTTAAATAATTGCACTGAAGAAGAAGAGGACTAATCTACTGTGATTGTGGTTAGGGTCTTTCCCAGCCACACATTCATCTGTCCTATGCTGCACCAGATTATATTTTGCCCCTGTAGGGAAATTGATTCTGTGTATTAAACCAATTAATCATGAGAACACAGGGGAACTCCACACAAAAGTTAGCCACCCCCATGTGGTTAGGTCCTTATTTTAAGCCCCTCACCACTGTCTATCAGTCTAACTTTGCAACATGTGTATCTCCTTAGGTAGCAGAACAAGTAATATTGTAATAGTAGTAGAAGAAAATACACTTTGGTTGCATTTTAATATTTCTAATGATGTAATGTAAAATATAAACATGAGGAGGCTACTTGTTGAGCAGTAGTAGTGGTTGACATGCAGACAGTTGCAGTAAGTACTTTCTACTTTGGTGAGGCGGATTACAGTAATTTGTACTTAGCTTTAGTACTTGTACTACTATTTATGTCACAGTGGTTTGAGACACTACTTGTTTTTGAGTATTGATATAATTAGTATAATGTGTACTCAAGCTTTCATAAAACAAAGATACTACAACCAGTAACTTTCTTTTACGCAGCAATACAGCCACAAAACAGAATCATTTGAACATAAACTGTAGACCTTAATCATTCATTTGTTGTGACATGAGTAACTTTTTATTGCGCTCTCGCCGGCATCAAAACTTTTTTATCAAAAATGATCATCTTTTCAGTACCAGTTCTTGAAACAAACTTTTTTTGGAAACAGCAGTAGTAATAGAGCACTTAGAACATACTTTTCTTGGTGCAGTCCTGATCTTCATGACAATCCTAATGACCACTACTATCCCTCCACCCATGTGTATCATCTCGGGACATCTCTGTTTATGTCGGGCAGATCATACCGATGTGAATCCTCTGTCTCCACACTTCCCCCACCACCCATTCCCAGGAGGCACAGAGAGCTGCCATCTTTACTGCGCTCATTACTGCTGTGGTCAGCCCAGGAATTACCAACCGGGACCCAAAGGAACCAAGTGAGGGATGCCTGAAACTAAACCAGAGCCTGTTTGAAACCCTGTCATTAAGATTCTATGCTGAGTGCTGATACTGCGGAAGAAAACCAAACGACTTTACAACATGCTTTGGACTTATGAAAAAAAGTCTGAGCAGGAGCCAAGAAACGATTCAGCAAAATGAGTTCGCATAATAAGACTGCAGCAGCAAAAGTGCATCAATGTGGGAGAGGAAAAAATGAAGTGTTGTGTTACCGAACGCGTCACTGGGGTCAGGAATCAGAGCTTTGGAGAAGTGCTGAGTTTGGAAAGTATTAACAAAGAGGCTACCAGAAAGTGAGCTGAGATTGGTAGCAAACTGTGTAAGTGCTGTGTCAAATAGACTTATTTTCTACCTCTTGGCAAGCTCGGATACATTTTACAGGTCTGTTTACCCTACAATGTCAACTATAGGTCAGAGCAGAGTCACCATTTATATTAGTTTGAGAAAATAAACTGGGAAAATTTATTAGGTTAAGCTGTACAATACAATGTCCCTGGTCTTTATATATTGTAGTATTCTGTGCGCTGTAGGACATGATTGAATATGGGCTCAAATGTATGTCTAAAAGATAGGATTTTTACATATGTCATTGTTGAACTTGATAGATGACAATGCCACTCTTCAAATATAGGGTCAACACCTGCTTGTCTCCACGGAGATGTTATTGCGTTACTTGTTCCCAAGGATGGCATTAAACATCCATGTAGCATTTATTTTTATTTTACTGGGTGTTTCATTGCTCATAAATTTCTTGAAAAATAGTCGTTCTGTTTTAGTTGCGTCTCAGATCTGACCTGTAACTTGGCCTGGTGGTGCCTCCATTCTATCTTCTTGGATGGAGGTGGATAGATTTAATGCCATACTATGAAACACTCCAGACAAAGCAAAACATGGAGACAAGGAGGTGGTGAATCATCCAACAGAAAGGTAAAATAGAAACCAAGAAATGGTCCGAGCAAAATCATGAGGGAAAACAGCTCCAATATGACACCAGTCAAGACTACTGCGCCACAGCCCTGTATTACAAACCTGATGTCTACAATGCCAAGTCTTACAGTGGCACAAGATAAAAGTCCAAGTCAGTGGCGATTAGTAACACCAGTTTGTTGACAAGTTTCAATAGTTTTGAGGTCTCAGTTTTAAAGCAGAGACAATGTGAGGGTAATAAAGCTGTAGCTCATTCTGTGCAGACCATATGCTGCTCACAAACAGCTCTGTGACAGCCCAGCCACAAGAGATGGGCCATTGTTCTGCAATGACATCAACGCATCATGACATGCACCTCAGCCTGGACAGTCCCTCAATCACACTCAGGCAAACACGGACTGGTCTGGGGTGACAAAAGGGATATTTGTATCAGTTTAGATAAATAGTTTAGAAGAAAAAAATTGTATAATGGTGCATGGCTCAACTTAAATCATACCATTTATATTTTAACAGTGAAAGATATTTTAAGACTAACTGTATAATGTCTCACAATCTTGATAGTGCTAACCGGAAAGAGAAAGGCTGAGACAAAGACAAAAAATCAATACCCAGATGCTAATCCATACTATAACTAGTATCTGAAACTAGACACTTATTTGTAAGTATTAAGCATTGATACTGAAAAAAATCACTGTAACTGGAAAAGGTTGGACATTCCCTGACTATTTTTAGAATTATCTTGTTTATAGGGCCGCATGCATTGTTTAAAAGTAGCATTATTATTATTTATTATTATTAGTAGTAGTAGTAGTAGTAGTAGTAGTAGTAGTAGTAGTAGTATTGTTGTTGTTGTTATTATTTATTTATTTATTTATTTTTATCAAAACTGGCGTACAGAATGAGTCTTTTTCTTAGTATCTGTGAAATGTTCAAATAAAATAAAGTGAACTGAAATGAAACATTTATTTTGTTTTTTTTATGCTGTGGCAACACTATGAATACATTTTGTAGACTCTAGTCTGTATTCATTTATTTACACAATACACACTTTTGTGCTTGATTTTGGTGCTACACTAATATGACTAATTAAATCTAATGAAAAATCAATAAATGGAGAGGTCCCTCTCCATACTTGGAAGATGAAAGAGAATGAAGGCAGGCCATTCAAAACACCAAATGATCAACGCTCAGCAGTATATTAATGACAGTGTAATGCCATTTGCCATGTATTGTATCGATTCTGAATGTATTTCATTTTTTTGCCACTGTTGCGCTGAATACACTTTTCTAAACAGGATGTGCCTTTTCTGCCCATTACAAAGGACCCTAGGGTGCTCCCCTACTGCTGAGGGGGCAAACCAACAGAGGGGTGCCGTATCTAGCACCACTGTAGCATCCAGAGTCAGTCAACAAGAGACTCAAGGAGACTGTTTATTCTGAGCCAGTAAACAGCACACCACACTCGGTCAACATGATAAAAGCCATTTAAATTCACGCTAAATGTTGCACCTCCACAAATGTCAACATGTACAAGGGCAGAAGTGCTTAAACAGGCATCCCAGCACTGCTGGTCTGCATTAACAAGTGCTATTGACACCTGTAATGTAATAGCCAGTTCAAATAAGCGGATAATTAATGGAAAATGCCATTAATTGGAGTTAAAGGGACACTGGCTGCAATACATCACATTTATTGCCTAGTTTAATTGCATAGTTTCCATAGTTAATTGGCACTTCTGAATACAGATGGCTTAGATTCATAGGATAGACTTCCATACACTAAAGTTAATATAGAACCCTATTTAATCAATAAAATAATAGAAAATTAAGATAAGAAAATGTGAGTACAAAATAAAACTAACTTGCATCATTAATATCCCAGTAATACAAACTACATCAGGCGTTCTTGGCTAATAAGAGAGCTATTAGATGTCACGTCAATACAAAAATCAATATACACTTAAGATATGTGGATTTCAGGAAGTGATTAGAAACACACAATAAACAATTTTTAATCTTATTCAATAAACATACCATACAAACGTGCTCATAGCTGTGGTCAGACTTATTCATATTGTGGAATAGGCCTGTGTTCAATGGTGAATTTATAAAATAGCTTAATAGGCCTACTTGACCATTTCTAGTGGTAGTGAGCTACTTTTTTGGTCAGGTCTTTTCAATAATCCCTAAATTGTTACATTGAACTACACTGAAATGGGACACAAAAGTAGCCTACAATGATTAGGTAGGATCGTTTGCATCCGTTTAGCTGGATTACTCACAGCCACATCACTTGATTCTTTCACAAAGTTTAATTCCCTAAACACATTGCTGCAAACAACCGCTAAAACAGAGATGTATCATTCTATTCTGGTCAGACTGGAGTTCGTCTATTTGAGTCCCGCAGACAGACTTTTAGTGGACTTACCGTGAGGTGATTATCGGCTCCTCGCTCTGTGCATGTCCAGGGAGCGCGACTTGGAAAGACTTTCTCTGGTCAGATGTGAGAGCGGCGCTTGGGACATCTGCTTCGGACTGTTCCATCTGACAAAATAGGGGTGTGAAGATGTTCAGTCTTGACCAGGATATGAATATCACTTATGTTTTAACACATTATTATGACTCTCTTGTCACTTATATTTACTACTTGTGTCATCATAAGAAATACCAGCAGCACTTTTAAATGATTTTGCAACATAGAGCCCCTCTCAGTTTCCACATATGGTATAATCCGACGCGGTTGTCTCCAGACCCGCTCAGTATTGACCCAGCAGCACGCGTTTGAGTGCAGGAGGGGCCTTTCATTTGAGAAGGATGAATAGAAGTGTGGGTCTTTTGGGGGGACGCTGGTCAAACCCTCGACAGCTGGCAGGTGAGGGCCTGGGCTGACTCCAGCGCCATGTAAACAAACGCCATAGACATAGCGCAAAACTATGCCATGCATGCTTACAGTAGCGCTTTTAACAAAGCCTATGCTTTTAGATCTCAAGGCATTTAAAACACTTGAAATTAAACAATCTATCTCTGGAAACATCTTATATTATGGTCTTCGTAGATTATGCCTATGTTTATGTTTTAATGCCATTTAGGCTATACAAGACTATTCCCATAGCAATTAACAATTTAACATTAAATATCATGACATTTGAAATAGCGAAAAGTTATCAGAATCTCATGAAGAGTTAGTCTCAAACTTAGACAAACTTTACTGATCCACAAGGTAAATTATTTGGACACAGTAGCTCACACATCACAATAAAATATAATAACGAAGAGTAAAAAATATAAATGATAATAATAAATTCTAAGAGACAGGTGTCAAATAAGACATTTATTTAAATGTAAGTGTACAAGCCAAAATAAATTAGAAAGATAAGTAATACAATTTAATCACAGCTTTATACAAGAGGTCACAGGAAGACAGTGGAACACTGTTATGATTATTGACAGAACATAGGGTTATCACATAATATTAAAAGCTGAAACCCACGAAAAGCCATGGATGGATATACACCAGCTTCAAATCTAAATGGGCTTATCCTTCTATGCAAGATTTCTGGGTGTCTACTGCTTCAGTAAACAAAGCTGCAGCAGGCTCTGGGATTAAGTTCCCTTTTAGACCAGGGGCAAGTCCAAATCCAGCTTTACTTTGGCTGTTAAACAAACTTCATCATCTTGTCTATACACTGACTGTACTCCCCTTTTATTTGTAGTGCTTTGATTGTCTCATGGGGCACACACTCCCAGACCTCCCTGTAGGTCGGTAAGAGACAAATGTGCTCATAGTCTTTTGAAGTGGTTAGGCATCTGTGGGATTTAATGTTTGCATGCATTGTTGTCTGTATTGTGTCACAACAATATGATTAGGCATATAATATGATCCCTCAAAAAGTGAGCTGACCATCATTGCTATTATAGGAGGTTTTTGGTTCAGATGGATTGTACAAGCAGCAGGTGTTTGAATTGTCACTTTTTGTTTAATTGTCTTTTCATTTTTGTATTTTTACATGCTCCTGTGTTTGGCTCTGTGCTAGTGAAATAACCTACCCGGTGCCCACAGTTTGGCTCTGAGCAGGTGGCTTCACTGACTTTCTCAAATGTGTGTGGAGCTTTAACCGGGCCCTTGGGCATTATGGTCCTGCACACTCTGAAAGGCTTGCTCCAGATGGTCCCTGCTGTTCCCTGCTCCTAGCCCCATCCCGTGATGGAATGAAAAGATCACCTAATTAAACAGAGTTCTACAGTCATGTGAAAGAACTGTGTGCACGTCCTCTGTGAGAGCAAGTGCATGCAAATCAGTGCCGGACACTTTGAATAGTGCCCAGCAAAACAATGCACCTATGCAAACCTTAAAGTCTTTATTTCCAGCACACATGGGCACTGGCTTGGGCCCAAGTCAGCACAAAAACAAAACTCTAGGCCAAGCAATGTACAAAAAACATGTCCTATTTTAGGACTTAATCATGTAATGCCTTATCAATTAACATTTAATAGCACAATTATTATTACAAAAGTGATTTCTGAAGCAGAGCTTCTTGACAGAAGATAAGGACAAAAAAGTACTTTGATTGAGGATAGATGCTTTCTTTATAAGAATTTAGTATGAAATAGTATTGTGAATTAGAGTCCAAATCAAGACACAACTGAAAAGAGAAATATTTTTAATGTATTAATCCCAGCGTATATACGTGTCAACAGGTGGTCTTTATATTGAAAGTCTTTATTGAGGCGTGCTCAGGGCTAAGAAAGTAAAAATGGTTTAATAAAAATACTGAGCTCTACATCTGCAGAAAGCAGTAGTCCTGCAGCACTGGTGCTATAACAGTAGGGCCACTGTGGTGAAGGTGCCTCAATGCCTCACTGGTCCAACATCTGGGTCCGCCTCAGATTGTCTTTCACTCGGACAAATTCTGGGATCTTCTCCAGGTTTTCTCGCTGTTTCAGCTCCTCAAGTTCATACTGGAAAAAACAAACATGATAAACTAATTTAGTAAAAGTATACACTTAATGCTATTATTAGTTACATTCATTAACAAAACCAGTTCAAAATATTGTTGTGATAGTAACAATATACTTCCTTTACCACAATAAAACTTACAATCTGCATTTTCAATTGCTTTATCCACCTCCAATCACTCATCAATGGTCACCAAATTCCCATTCACCCATGATGCCCATTTACTTTGAAAATTAAATGGCAATAGCTTTTGTAAACACATAGATTTTAATTTAAAATGCAGTGTTGCGTCACTAACCTCCTTAAGTTTTTGCTGCCTTTTGCGGAGCTCTGTCTCCAGATCTGAGGGTCCCAGTCGAGCCTGCTCCTCTTCTTTGTGGATCCTCCCCCTTCTCTGTTCCAAGACCCTCTTCAGCTCCGGCTTCACTCCAAATAGAAGCCCGCTGTTCAACACATCCCCTACTATTATCTCATGACATGTACTTAATATTATATATTAGAATCTTATGTACATTACTACCGTTTATGGCCAAGGAGAAGTTCTCGGTGCAAATTTTGGAAATCTGCAACAGAGCCATTTAGTTTATTGGGCTGTGAAATCTCGTCGTTGTCCGTTGTGGACTGACGAGTCAGAGCTGGTTGGCATGCATCTAAGAGAGTGCAAATGGCATACCATTATTGTTGAAGGATGTGGATGTTACCCTTGCATGTCTGTAAGAACTGCATAGCAACTGGATGAAAAGAAATGAATGTCTTGACTCTATGCCAAATGTGGCTTGTGGCAGCCAATATATCACTTAGTAAGATTGGACTTGTAATATTGATGGACACAGTGTCAGACAGGTCCTGAATGTGAGTTATGAAAACTGATATTTATTGGATTCAGCCCTGCAAGTCATAAGCCCTATGTGTGCATAATACATAGCCACTACCAATGTCCTTTAAAATGCAGCTTTTGCATTGATTGGGCTTCCATATAGTCCCAATCTAGGACTACTCCTTTGTCACAAATTGATGCTATTTTTATTAGTTCATGTGTTTGGATGAAAATAAAACATACAGGGAAGTGACCGCTATAAAAAGCAAGCCTATATTTGTATTTTAACCAAAAATGTCCTTATGTTATCCTCCACAAGAGGCGATAATGGACAGTATTGTGCATAATTCTATGCAACCCACCTTTTTTGTTATTTCCATATCCAACTTTCTGTAAAAAAAAGAAAAGATTTATTAGATCAACTTAAACATTCATATGCCAAAAATATTTAACCAACACATCTACTATAGCATTCTTTGGCGGAGGATATTATCCTCTAATATCCCATATATTAGATAAGGAGTGAAAGGGAGAGTGCCTGGTGGCTTCCTTAAGCCTCTTTTGTTTACATGGAGTACAAAGGTGATGTAATTTTACTCAGGTTTTTGGCAGATGGCAGTAGTGAGATGGCCAGACACTAGACTTTATTCATTTTCTTTTGTGTGGTATTTTCAATCCCAAATCATACAAAGTCTTGACAACAATTGCCCAGTATAACAATAAGAATAGAAACTGAGACGAGTACCTTTGACATGGTCTTGAAACAGATATCTGCCTGCAAAGTGAAACCAGATAAGCTGGAGTGGAGACTTGCATTAAACAGGGAGCAGATGGGAGACCATTGCTACTGCAGATACCTTCATCTGATAACAGCAACTTCAAATCCTTCTTGTCCAGTATCACATCAGTTAGTCACCAGTCAAAATGTATGGATTATTTGGTGTGATATGGGTGCCAGTGTCTGTTGTCTGTTGTCCCTGTAAACCCTCAGATCCTGCCCCCTGCAGAGAGGCTACCCTGGCAGAGAGTCAGTCCATTTCTGATACAAGCTATTTATTGTGAGGGAAACTCTGTAACCTGTTTAGTATTTGCATCTGTGATTTCATTTACATCACAAAGTTGCATTTGCATTGTTGAGCTTCTATTTAATATTATGGTGTGTGCTCCTGTTGTTTTAACCAATATTGTAATGATACTTTTGTCCCCTCAGGCTTTTTATCGAGACTTTAAGGGGTAATGAAAGGTAATCAATAAATAATGATGATAACAATAACAATGATGTGTCTCAGAGATTTCAGCCCTATAATGCAATGTAATAATGTCATATCATTTAAAACCATATTTGATTACAAAATTACTATGTCTTATTTAATCTGATATAGTTGAAACTAGTTTTGTAATCTCGATTGTCTGTCAGTCTAAAATGCTATTACTGGAAGTCTATAATGAGGTCAGGTTCATGTTGCCTACATTAGTAGAATACCTTATAGATTTGGAGTCAAGTTTCCAACACAAGCAACGCTGCGTTTACAATCTGCTCAGCTACATTAAAGAGTCACCCAAACCTGCAACAGATGGCTTCCAGACCATACACTGACCTCCTATTCACCTGCACTAAAACATACTCACTTTTTTTGCATTTCCTCCCTCCATGGCAGAGGTCGACACTTGGTCTCCAGTTCCTAGTCCATTTTAGAAGTCACATTTTCTTATTGTTTCCTCTGTAGTAGCTCAACTCAACATGGTTCTGACTTTGTTGTTGAGGATCCTAGCCCTACATGTTCACCCCGCACAGGAGCATGTGCAACAGTACTCAGTAGTGATAGTAGAAGCTGAAATCTTGTTACGCCATTCAAGATTACCTTACAGCCCCCTGCAGGACACAGGACACTAGATTAGTTAATTGTCGCTGACACAAATGCTTCTTAACAAACCTGCAAGGCTCCCTTACCACTGGGGCAAGTGACACCAGGAAGACAGAAAAGTAGCAAATGTGTGATTTGTTCAAGTCATTTTATTTTAATACAGACTTGGCTTAATGCAGCATTTTATATTAGCTGGAAAGTGCTATTGTGATATGCAGCCTGTGTTGGGTTTCTCAGGTTACAGGTCACGTTGGCTCTAAGCTGCTGGGCTCTCATCTCACTAGATACAGCAGACCGTGGGGATCACTTTGCCAAACCTTAAATTCTCTTTGTTCCATGATAGACATTGGTGCAGTTTGTAAGTAGGCTTAAGTGTACTGAAAATAATACACACATTTCACAATACACAAAATGCATTTCATTCTGCATGCCTTTGAGCCCAGACCTTGACACACAGAACTAAATTATTGTTAAGTATGAACAGCAATTAATCAAATCCCTATTCAGAGCAATTTAGGAAAAATACAACTCCAGTAGATATCCTATTGGAGTTGTGTTGCATACTCAGTTTTAAATGTATTTTTGTAATGTATATTTTAGACAACTGTTAAATATTTGTTGTTAACTGCCATTACTTAATGCCCTCTACACAGTACTCTCTCCACACTTCGTGGTAGAGGCTTAATTATCATATAAAACCAGAAGAGGGCGTCATCATCCCCAGGCTTTATTTCCTTCCCATCATCCTTTGCGCCAGTGTCTTTAAAACCAAACCCGGAAGAGCAATTTCACAGTTGCTGAGTGGGCTGTGGATGCTCTGTGTGTGTTTTTGAGTGAGTATATGGGCTTTGTGTGTGTTTGGGTGAATGCGCGAATGAATGTGTCCTTTAAAAACCTACACACTGATCTTATTTGATTTGACCCGAGTTTTGCTCTGCTCGGGTCAGAAATGATAGGAACAAACGCTCTGTAGCCATGCACGGCAATGTACAGTAGCGCGTTTTTTAGAGCTTTCCCACGCTTAAGCTGTGGTCAGAAGTGATGAATTGATCAGATATACTAGTTCTCGGTGTGGCTTTGGGTGTATCCCTGCTTGCACTGTAGGACAATGAGTATAGAGGCGATTCTGATCTTTCCACAACTGGCCAAGTGAAGGCAGCGCCACATTGTTGTTAGCATTAGTCCAGGCGCTGCCCCAAGTTTGCGAGGATTTGAGAGTTCAGCACGTGCCCGCTCACAGCATACTTTGCGTAACCCTTCCCATTGGCTTTTTAAGTTGAATAACCTTGTTCAACTCGAAGTATTGTACAAAAATACTTCTGTTGTACAGTAGTGTCTAGACTTAAGTATGTTCATTCAGTTGGTTTAGAGCTCCCCTACAGGCGGGTTGTGGAATAACAACAGAGATGGGTTTCAGTTATCCACAAAATCTTCGTACATTGAGACACGACTCAGACTTTAATACTGCCTTCATGCAGTTCTAAATCACCTATTCTAAATTGTTAGTCATATTAATTTTAGGTGTTTCCAGCCTGATCAGACCAGCTGACATCTTGACTTACAATTTTCAATAAACTTTTTTCAGATTTCATGTATCAATAATGTACACTCAAACATCAATTTCACAAAACACAAAAATGACTATTTTTAATTTATTTTGATGGCTGCCTCATCTGAGAAAACACAGATCAAAGTAAGATTATACTAGAGTTTTTGGGGGGGAGGAATTGTATGAATAGATGATACTCTACCTTTTTCTCATATTCCAACTTCTCAATTTCTAATTGAAGTTTATGTATTTACAGTTCTTTTTTTAATATTGTCAAGCTCAATATTTTTCTTTTGAAGAGCTCTTAAAGCTGTTTCAACCTGTACAAAGAGGGAAATGGATCTAAATTACCAAGCATTACAGACACTTGAGTTTATTTTGTCCATGGAAAATTACCAATTGCTCTTCAGAGATAGGTATTGAGGCTTCTGGCAAGTTTGGAGTCTGTACATTTTTGGCTTCCTGTGAAATGATCTCTTAACCATTTACAATAAAGCCCATGTTAAAAGCATTGTTTTATAAAATGCTTTATTTACCCCAGCAGGCATCTCAGGGAAGAGTGTCTTGAAGATTGTGTTACCCTTGTCAATCTAAACAAGTATAGTGTATGAAAGATATTATTTTGCAGAGTGAAAATGGACAATTATAGTCCTTTACCTCAGTTTCTGGAGACACAAGGTTGTGGGGTTCCACTACAACCATTGTATTACCTTCAACTGAAAGCAAACAAGGATTCTGTTAAAGCCAAAGTGTCAAATAAACATGTAAAATTAAATAAACTGTCTTAACCCTGAACAAAGAGCTCCTGTGGGCCAGGAAAAGTAGGGTTTGATTGTACACCTCCCTGTAGCGCTTCCAAAATCTGTGCCTCTTGATTAGTTTGGTTTGCTTCTCGAATCTGGTGTGCTATAAAGGTGTGTGTGTGTGTGTATGTGTATATATATTTATTTATATTTATTTATTTTTTTTCCAACAGGATAATATATGAATTCTTGTTAACAAAAAATCACTGATATCCTAGATAAGCTACCAGACTGGAGTAGGTTCTTGTATTTGGTCTTAATTTTAATACTTTAATACTTCCTGAACTAAAAAGAAAAGATAGTGAATTAGTTTTTATAACTGTTCATTTGATATTTTTTCCCCAAAGTAATTCTACCTCCAAATTTTGCTCTTTTTTCATTTGCATTTACTTACGAATTTACACATTCAGCTATTTTCTTTCAGCATTCCTCTTTGGCTTTACTTGCAACAGCAGTGTTTGCTTTGGTCTTAAAAACGTCTTTATAGTTTTCAAAGTTTTCCAAAATAATAAGTTTCTCCTTGTGAGTAAAGTAAGAGGCCCTTGAACGGTCAGCTGTATGCGAGAGAAACGGTGTCAAGTCACTCGCCATTTTCCCACTTCAACTGTTTTTTAAGAATTAAAACGTTTTGATCAGCAAGAAAAATAATACACACACTGATTAGGATTTGGGTTCAATCCCATGGTTCAATCGAGCAAGCTCACCCGAAAAGACGAGCTCGTTTCCTTGGGTGATCACGTTCCGCAAATCACGCGATATTATTTGTTAGTGTCACGCGCCTGTTGTCTCGCCAATCAGGAAGCAGCAACAAATCTAGCAAGCGCGGGACGACTAGCGACATCTGACACAGTTTATGCGACAACGAGCTGCTCCTAATGAATCATTTCTTTTACAGATGGCAGAACCTGCTAAAAAGAAAAGGCTCAGTCATGCTCACAGCAGTTCACAAACGCCTGGTGTCAGTTCGTGGGCCGCTGAACATAGGTCCGGCGGAGACAAACGCTTCGTGGAAGGATCCATAGTCCGCATCACTATGAAAAACTTCCTGTAAGTTAACGTTAACGTGGATAACACTGCAAAGTGCCACATTTTCCTGCCTAAAACTTAACTTACTTAATCTAAAACTAAGCTATATCAGAATGAGAACAAAATGCATTTAAATACAAGATCGTTGTTTTAAAGAACGATGCTGTAACATTAGCTGTCAGACTGCCGTGCTTTTGTGTTGAAAGTCAAAAACATAGATGAAACAATAAACTAATTTTATTTCAACAACGTGTTTTCTGTGAATGCATGTTGTTTAATGTATTACAGAACATATGACTTCTCTGTGGTACACCCTGGACCAAACCTAAACATGATTGTTGGAGCCAATGGCACTGGCAAATCCAGTATCGTGTGTGCTATTTGCTTGGGTCTGGCTGGAAAGACCGCTGTATTGGGCAGAGGAGACAAGGTACACATTCCATGTTTTTGTGGTTAGTTTTTGATGTATAAATACTGTTTTTCTATTAGGTAGGGCTGTATGTCAAGCGAGGATGTCCCAAAGGATCCATTGAGATCGAACTGTTAAGTTTGCCCTTGTCATTTCCATCAGTTGTAATGTATACTTCAATATCAATACTAAATACTTACAGTACAAACTATTTTACAGGTTCAAAAGCAGTGGCAACATTGTAATTAATAGAGAGATTCATGTAGAAAACAATCAGTCTTCGTGGATGATCAATGGTAAACACTGCAATCAGAAAACTGTGGAAGAGGAAGTGAAGTCCCTACGCATCCAAGTCAGCAACCTTTGTCAGTTTCTACCACAGGTAAATTCAGTATGTTGTCTGTTAGTAAATAACAGAGATATTAACACAAAGAAACTCAGAAGGCAGAATTCAGGGTTTTTACTCACGGCGAGGGACAGAGGCGCTGCTACAGCTCTTAACTGTCGAAGAGCCACCATCCAACCCCACGTATTTATCGAATCACACAGGTTACAAGAATAGTGGTTACATTTTTCTATCACAGTAAAAAACACAGAATAAAAGTGCGTGTGCATGTGCATGTTTGTTTGCGTGCGTGTCAGCTGCTGAGGTGTAGGGAGGACTGTCCTTGCGGAAGATAACAGATAATGAGGAGTTGGTTTTCCCGTGAGAAATACCCTTTGATAATAATAATACAAAGAAGCATCTATACAGAATTTGAAAAACTCTTTAACATTGTCACAACAAAATTTTTTGTTATGGGTATGAACCTGTTGCTACTCTGGTATTTTAAAATACCACATTTACTTCAAATGGTATGCTGCCTAAACATTTATGTTGCAGATATTACTATCTGAACACCTATCATCATAAATTAATCTGTTTTTCTTTTACTTTGTAGGAAAAAGTTGGAGAATTTGCCAAAATGTCTAAGACTGAGCTGCTTGAAGCAACAGAGAAATCAGTTGGTCCACCAGAGATGTATGCATACCACTGTGAGTTGAAGAACTTCAGAACCAAAGAAAAAGAGTTGGAGGTAAAATTTCATCAGTGCTTAATGGTGATGTTTTCTTGATTTCATAAGGTTTTGTTTTGGTGATGTGTTTATCAGAATGCTGTAAAAGAAAAGGCCAATTTTCTCGAAAAGGCCAAGTTGAGGAATGAGAGAAATAAGCATGATGTGAATCGCTACTATGAGAAGAAAAGGCATCTGGATGTGATTGAGCTGTTGGAGAAAAAGAGGCCTTGGGTGGTAGGTATATGAAGAAAAAACAAAACAAAAAACAAAATTTTAATAATATATTTTGCTTTAAGGAATATGAGACTGCCAGATCTGATCTGGAGGTTCTGAAGAGAGAACGCGAAGAGGCTAAGAGGCATTTGAACACTCTGAAACAAGCACAGGCTCCAATGAGGAAAAGAATTCAACAAATAGAAGATAAACTGAACCCAATAGAGGCACAGATTAAGAACAAGGTCAGAAATCTACTAAAAATATTGTATTATTGATGATGAAATATTTCCATATTGTTAAACCTTGCCAAATGTGCAATTATAGTTGGTGTGTATGTAATGAGACTTAGTTTAATGACATAATATTAAAAAAACATGTTATGCCAAAATAAAGTGCATAGATTATTGCATTGTGGAATTAAGTTTTAGTAGGGTAGTAATAAAGTCTATGTTTTTTATTATTTATTCATTTTTTATGTGAACCTGGAATAAGGTCCCTTGGCTTAAATCAAAAGTCTACTGTATTGATGTTTTCCAGACACTTGACATCAAAGATGCTTCAACAAAATCCAAGCAAAAACAAGATCAGTTGGACCGAAAACACAAAGAGGTGAAAAGGCCTTTTTGAGAGCTTGAATATGCAAAATAATTTATACTTTATCAAAGGGCCAATATTATGCTGCTTTTAAATCTCAACCTCTAAAACATTCGTGGAGTTGTGTTTTTGTTTCATTTACACATGTTTAACACACAAACTGTCCGTATTTAGGCTGAGTTCTTCTCTCAAACAGAAAACATTCTGTTCCACCTTAGGATGTCATGTGGTAATACAGGAAGTGCTCCACTGTGTTTTTAATACTCCCAAACATCTTCACTCGAATCTTTTTGCTAATTTCAGCCGTGGATTTGCCCATTTACGGTAGCTGTTAACTACTGCCTCATGACATCTGAAGGTGGAACAGAGCATTTTGAGTTTTGGAGATGTAGACAGACTAATAATAAAGGGTTCCTCAAACGTGTGAATGGAGCAAAACACAACTCCCAGTATGTTTTTGAGGAGGTAACAAAGGTTACAAAATGTTCACATGTTATAATAGAGGGCCTTTAACTAAATAGATGTTTTTTTTCCTCCTAGATTGAGGACATAAAACAAAATCTGAAAATAAAACAAACTGAAGTGGAGGACCATCAGAAGAGGGTCAGTAACACACGTCGGGCCATTGATGACTTGAAGGCACAATTGGCCAAAGTGTCAGATCAGCCCGATGTGACCCCGAAGATCAATGAGGTGAACATGGAGCTAAGGCGCATTCAGGTGGAGCGGGCCAAGATCGAAGGACAGAAGGGAGACCTGCGCAGAGAAAAGGACAACCTGTACTCTGAGTACAAAAGTAAGAATGTGCCAGCTGCTCTGCACTCAGCAGAAGTCACTCAGCTTTATAATTTATGTCTGCTTACAGTGTTGGAGAAGAAGCTGAATGACATGAACAACATGATGAATGCAAAGGAGGAGAAATTACGTAATCGCCACAAAGACACTTTTGCAGCTCTGCAGTGGCTTAGAGAGCACAAACAGATATATGCAGGAAATGTTCATGAGCCAATGATGCTTGTTGTAAGTCTTTATTTAAAATAGTAGTGACAAGGGCTGTAATCCTTTAGTCATATAATTGATTAATCAATCTTTTTGTCAGATCAATGTGAGGGACCCACAATATGCGAAGTATGTAGAAACGCACATCTCTTTCCAGGACCTTCGTGCCTTTGTTTTCCAAAGAAAAGACGACATGGAGAAGTTTATGGCTGAGGTAGGAGATGCAAAATATACACTGTCCCTTCAATTAAAGACTAGAGTTAATAAGCTCATAAAAAGATATTCTGCACCAGATTATAGGTAAATAACTTATTTCCATCTGCTGTCCCTGATTAAATTAGTAAATTATACAAAACAATTACATTCAATCAGCAATAGGAACAAGTCACACTATCCACTCAAACTTGCACATAAACACATTGTCAAAGCAAAGCATTACACAAAATCATGAGTTTCATCTTATAAAAATGCATATTAACCTACCATTTCTGCATATCACTACTGCTTCAGTCAATAAGTCCCAACAAATACAGCATACCCGTTTTTACACACATTTCACAGTGTGCGGTATTGCACACTCGTTATCAGACATGCAAAACACAGAATTTCAGTAATACCAATAACAATTCATTATTTCTCAGGTTCGTGATAAAATGAACTTGAAGGTAAACTCCATTTGTGCCCCTGAAGAGTCTCGTTCTCATCAAAATCCATCCAGAAATATTGAGTCACTGAGGTATGATGCAATTAAATACAAAGCTATTCAAAATAGCATCTATTAAATTGTAGTTATATTTTATTGCCTGTGCAGGCGGTTTGGATTTTTTTCCTACCTCCGTGAAATGTTCGATGCTCCTGAAGAGGTCATGAGTTACCTTTGTCATCACTACAAAGTCCATGACGTCCCAGTGGGCAACGAACAGACAAAAACAATGATAAAAACAGTTAGTGTTTTTTGTCAAATACTATAAAATGTAAGTAATCATGAAAGCTACAATTATTGTCTATTTCCTTTTTAGATAATTGAGGAACCTTACATCAAAGTGTTGTACACCAAAGAGGAGAGATATCAGGTCAAAAAGTCTGTTTATTCAAACAACACCATCACTGTCAACTCTGCATTGAATCCATCTCAGTATTTGATGATAGCAGTGGATGCTGAGGAAAAACGTCAGTTGGAGGAGCAAATGAGGGTGAGACAGAGTATTATAAATTAACCATATTTTGTTGGTTAAATGTGAAATCTGTTTTCAGTTTGATATTAATAATTATTTTACATTATATTTATTTAGTGTTTTACAGGGCCGTAAAGACACAGAACAGTAATGACAATCTTTTTTTTGCCAGACTTGTCAGTCTAGGATGAAGGACATTGATGAGAGACTGAAGTCTCTGCAGAAAGAAGCCTCGGCATTAGATCGCCGAGACAATGAGCTTTTGGCCGAGAAGAAGCAGCTGTCTGAACTAAAAGGAAAGAAGAGGCAACTGGAGCAGAAAATCAGCACCAAACTAGACTGGTACGGTAATTTAAATGGAGGTAAAATGTATTGTATAACACCTTTGTTCATTGTTCCATGTGTAGTTTAAGGCAGATGGAGAACAGTGCAATTGACCTGCGGAAGATTGAAGAAGAGACTAAAGAGAAAATTGCTGCCGTCAATGTCCAAAAAGTGTCCATTGTTACATCTTTGGTGGCCTATATGAAGGTATGAGTATGCTTAAAAATGTTTTGTCCTCTGATCTGATGGTTGGGAACATAATTGGTAGAGCAGTCAGATCCACTGACCCACAGATGCATACACTGGTGTGTGCATTTGACTTTTGTGTGTAAAGCAAAGAGCCACGCTGACGATGGAAAAGGTGTATCTGATCTTGGAGACTGTGGGTTTGACAGCGGAGAAGGCACAGCTGGAAAGTGACTACAGAGAAGGAGCCTCTGAGTTCAGAATCACTGAGGTGAGATGTGAACATTTGAGTAATTGCCTTTTTCATGCAACATGTTTAGAATTATCTCCCTCTAGTGGAAAAGGAGAGAAAAAGATTTTTTTTTTTTTATCAATGGTGTACATTGGAGTTAGTTAAGTGGAAGCTGTTGAGACTGTCATGATATTATTCTAAAGCTTATATGCCACTATGACTGTGTATTATTTTCTGACATATGCTGCCGGCCATGCTTTTTTTTTCCTGCAGCAAAGGTGCAGTCGCTTGGATCAGAGGAAGATTCAACTGACTGAGCAGTGCAAAGGCATGATGAAAAGAGCCAGAGAAATCTGTCGGATGATGCCAGATCAGTCACTACCGGATGACTTGCGCAATGTTAGTAAAGCTCAATAACTACACTTACAGCAATTAATATTACAATAGTGATCCAACTTTGTAAAAGTCTGTTCACCAAATCATATTCAAGAAATGGCTAAATAATGATGCAGGGTTAAAGACTATGAAGACTATGCTTTTATTTTTTCATGTTTATTAATGCTGAAAGCCTACACTATATACACCATGTTATACTCTATGTTGAATATTTTTTGACATACAGGCAAAATAATAAAAGTTACGGACTGAACTGTATATTGCTAAATTATCATTTAATTGTTTTGATTATTTAATTTGTTTTAACAGGCTTTTACTAAATTGCCTGATACAGTGGATGAGATTGATGCCATGCTGAACGAAGAAAGATCCAGAGCAGAATGTTTCACTGGACTCAGTGAAAATGTAAGAAGTTTCTTTAGTGTTTGATTTTTGTTATAGTCTGCTGTAAAGAAGCTTCTGGTTTCTCATTCATAGAGTGGTTGCACACTGACATAAAAGTAAAACATTTTGTACTATCCCTAAAACAAACCATTCAGTAAAATGTTACTATCATTTGTGTGGTTTGAAGGTTGTAGATGAGTACAACCGACGTGAGCAGGAGATCAAACACCTGGAGAAGGAATTTGAAGAAAAAACCCGGAGTTTGACTGATTACAGGCAGAAGATTTCAGAGGTACATCCTTTTACTGCTGCTCTGTTTTATACTGTGTTAACAGTGTTTTTTTCTGCATAACTGTATATTCATTAAGTGTCTGTTCTGTCTCAGGCTAAAGAGCGCTGGCTGAACCCTCTGAAGCAGCTGGTGGAACAAATTAATGACAAGTTCAGTGACTTTTTCCGTTCCATGCAATGTGCTGGGGAGGTTGATCTGCACTATGAGAATGAGGTATACAGTTTTGCTGGATAAGTGTTATTAGACGACAACACTGAGTACTGACATTTTGGTTTTATTTTCAGGAAGAGTATGATAAGTACGGAATCAGGATTCGGGTGAAGTTTCACAGCAGCACACAGCTCCATGAGCTGACAGCCTACCACCAGAGCGGAGGGGAGCGCAGCGTCTCCACAATGCTCTACCTCATGGCTCTACAGGAGCTCAACCGATGCCCCTTCAGAGTGGTTGATGAAATTAACCAGGTATACAAACTTTGCAACATTATACTTTAGATCAATTAACCTATTAGTTAAAATGTATCTATTCATGTTGCAGGGAATGGATCCAGTAAATGAAAGACGGGTCTTTGATATAGTGGTCCGGACTGCATGTAAAGGGACGACATCCCAGTATTTCTTTATTACACCCAAAGTGAGTGAAATCTTTTGAAAAGCTTACAAAAATGTTTTATTGTTTTTATTAATATGCTAAATGCATTTTAGTCAAATAAACATCATTTATTGGAAATTGAATGTGTCAGTATAATCCAGATTAATTTGCTGATTGTTTAGTTCATTACAATTGTATTTTAATTTTAAATGTGTGGTGTCTTTAGCTTCTCCAGAACCTGCAGTATGCTGAGGAGATGACCATCCTGTTTGTTCATAATGGCGCCTACATGCTACCTCCGGCCGAGTGGAAGGAGAAGTCATTCATCAAACGATGTCTTGCAAGAAAAGCTAGAGTTTGAACTGTTCTGTGAGTTTAAATCAGATTATTCACTTGTTCACTTTAAAGTGATGTTACTTTATTTTAAAAGACATTTTGTATACAGTAGAGAACTTATTTAGGATTGAGGGTTACTGTTTTGCTTGTTGTTGTTGCTTTTCAATAAATAAAATATATTTGTGGATGTATGTGAATGTGACATTTATGTGATAACTACAAAGTTTTAAGGGTTCTATATTTTACTAAATTGATATTTTTCTGTACTCTAATTGTGTTCAATAAGGTTCATCTCGGTCTGAATCTTGCAGCTATTGTTTTAGCTTAATTTACACTGCGTGAAAGTTGAAATATGAATGCCAAGGTGTTCAATAGCAGATAGAAAGTCTCAAAAATGATTATATAGGATCTTTAATACAATACAGTTAAACACTGAAGAATAAAATAGTAAACCTTTACAGCTTAAGTGAGCTGAAAAGAAAATGCACAACCAAATATAATATAGTTAAGGTAATAGTACTTCTTTATTTCTTAAGTTATGTGTTCAATAAAGTACTAAACATTTAACATAACTATTAACATTTACTTTTTTCCAAGCAGTGACTGGAAAAGTGGTGCAGTTAACCTTTTATTTGATACTGTAAATGGAGCAACGCTGTGGGTAGACCCATCGTCTGATGTCCTGGTCCTGCTCTGTCTCTTTGTCTCCTTGCTTCTCAGTGTGTCTGCCATAGACATTTATCATGTTGTTACAGAGTTACACTTGTGTTACTATTTGTCTGTGTGCAACACTCACCTGCAGTTGTCACACACAGTGTCCTTCTGATAGAAGATGTGGTTCTTACTCCAGAAGAAGTCCCTGTGGTGGTCATAGATGGTCTTCAAATGAAAGTCCAGGCTGTCCTGTGGGGCCTAGGAGTGAAATGACAGCTCTGTATAATTGGTCCAATGTGAGCTCTAAACTGCAGATACTACTTTTGTACCTGCTGGTAGTAGAACAGGGTGCTCCTCCTGAAACTGGAACATGTAGCAGAATTATGAAGACGGCTCCATGGCTCTTCTGTCTGCGCCAGATAGGTCGGTTTGTGAAAGGTTCTTTTCTAGATAAAAAAAAAAAAAAAAAAAAAAAAAAAGAATAGAATAACTGTGAACTAAACAAACCCTTCAGATTCTTTTTCACGTGTTTTTTATTTTAGTTGCTACACAATACTAAACATATGATTAGGATTTGGGTTCAATCGAGCAAGTTCACCCGAAAAGCCTGTTTTTTATTTTAGTTGCTACACAATTTAGAGATGACAAAAACAAATATAAAATAAAGTAATATTTAAGTTACATTTACCAAATATTCACCACATGTAAAGTTAATGATGTAGCTAGTTAGCTAATTAACTACTATAAGTTAGCTACATTTTGTAAATAAACCGTTAAAAATTTACTTGACCCACCGGCGGCGGCTTATATCCGCTCAAAGTGAGGTCGTTTTCCAGTTTTGATGGAGGATATGGGTCCCGACTGGACGTGTTCATCTTTTTTCAAATAAGCCTGGCCTGAAATGTGACAGAAAATCGACACGCTCAACTCCCGGATGTTTACATGCGTGTTACTAAGCAACTAAGCAACAAACATCTGACCACTGTCATTTACTTACATGTCAGTATTTTCTTTATCGGCCTATTTAATTATGTTTTTTTTTTTTTTTTCATTTCTTACTATGTATGAAATTATTTAATTTCGGCCTACATTGTTTTGTAATATAGCCTATAGTCTTTTCCCAAGGGAAAAACAAGAAGAAAGAAAAACATACATTTTAGTTTGACGGAATTTAAATTGCAATTGACATTAACCATTTCACCACATTGAAACGCTCAAGTTGAAATCTTTTCTACAAAATAAATAACATATGGGTACTGCATCCTCGTGGTAGCTCCATAAGTATACGATCCGTGATGTGATTGGTCGATCATGGCAGTTGAGGCCCCGCCCACAGCTCATGAGGCCTGCACCCATGAGCATACACCTGACAGAGGTGAAGTAGACCCGACTGCTCCATCAGTTCAACACCCACACGAGGACATCATGCACCCAGACAACTATCACGTGGAACTATTACTGCTGGCACTGCTGTGTGCTCAAAGCCAGGCCGAGCTGCCCATCTGTAAAGAGGTAAGAATAATAATAAAAAAAAATAAAAAAAAAATAAATAAATAAAAAACTTTATCAGTGCCAAACTTAACATGCCAGTCAAGTTGAGAATAAAGGCTAGTGTGCAAATGTATAAACAAAACCTTAACAAATGTATGCCAAAGTTAAATATGTGAGGCTAGACCAATGGATTTCATTTCAACTCACAATTTGTAATCTTTTAATGCAAATGTGTTGCACCCAGTGGTGTTTAAGTTAGCCTATATATGTCCCATGTAGAAAATATGTCTAATTTATTTGGTTCACAGTAAAACAATCAACAGAATAGTTGGGTGAGATAGGTTAAAATAAATGTATTATTGTATTGATATATTATTTATGAAATGCAAGCAATATCAGTAAATCATTTGTCAGTTGCCCTTCCAAAGTATCTTGCATTGCAATTCTGCTTAATGTCACTTTTTACTTCAAATTATGGCTGCTTTGCAACAGGTTTCCACTTTTGCAGCAGTTCATAGTGCATTCATTTACATAAAAGCAGTGGAGTTTGACTAGCACACTTTTATCAGTCACTTTTATTACTACTAGAAGCTGACTGCTACTCACTAGCTAAAAAGCCTTTGTTGAAAATATTGTTTATGATTAGGGTCTCAGATAAACTCTGTGCATCTTGTTAAGTGTGCAGCGTGGTCATCGTCCTGTTGCCGTGGTCCCCTCATGTTTATCTAAAACAGGTGATTAGTGCGGACAAGGTCATCTCCAAACTGTTGTGTTCTTGCTTAAATTCACTGAGACACACGTTAACAGGGACTCCACAGCTAATGTAGCAGCTGTAATTGAAAACAAAGACTTAGAGGATTGCCAAGTGGTAATAATGTTTGGTTTTGTTAACTATTAATCCAAGCTGTGTGCCTAATGCAGGGAACTAAATAGCAGGTGTATCTGAGCCAGCTGTTGAAGATTTGAACTGTTCCAACGTCCTAATTACAAAAAAATACAGATTATTCTTAAATATATAATGATATTAACAAGTGGTATGGAAGAACATAGATTTATCTTTGCAATAAAAAAATAATCAAGCCTAAAACAGGACCAAAACCAGGACTAAGCCTTGACTATGTGCATTCACAATCACACAAACACTGGTTTGAGCCACATAGTATGGCATTCATTTATCTAAAATGAAAAATATTCTTACTGTGTGGTTGCCTCTCCATAGATCTCATCTTACCTGTAACCAGGTGGTGACCATCCAGCAGAAAAATTACATAATTGTTTAGTCCCGGTTTAATCCCAATTTTAATGAGTTGTAATTACTTTGATTCATTCTAAATTTTAAAAATTTATAAAAATTTATTCCTGACATTTGTACTTGCAAAGCAAGGTTATTGTGCAATTACAATTAGATATCTATAAAAATGTTGAGGTGGTTTACAATTTCTTAAATAATAGCATATGATAAGAATGAAAACATAAAGAGTTTCTTCCATTTGAAAAATGAGCAATCCCTACTGTGATATGATTACAATCTATTTCAATCATCATTGTCCTTATGTGCAAAAAAAACCCTGAGATTTTATTATTTTATTTATTTTTTATTTTTTTTGACCATATTGCCTAGCCCCATACAAGAGTAAACATAGCCTATTTTAATTACCCAGCCATACATTCAGAGCAAGAATAAGCTATCAGCAAACAGTCTGTCTCCAAATTACATGAAATCATGCACACAGCATGAGAACCATGTTTGTAAAACACGACTAAACAAGATTATAATCCTGACACCCTAAACTGTATGTAATAGGTGAGATTGTGTTTGTCCTCAGATGTCCCCTGGACTGTTACAGACCATAGTCAAATTGAACCAAAAACACTATATTAGGTGTCAGCTTGTCTTCTCCGGGGCTTAAGTCAACACAGGGAGTTTTACCTGACTACCTCCTGATAAATGAGATTAAAACAACAGGTGAGACAGGACTGTTGAGCAAATATTAGCACTGGGTTTGTTTGTGAAGGAGGCAGGACAACGTTTCACCAAATTCCACTAGTGATGTTTTTAACAGTTTTATTTCTTAGTGAAAGAGAATGTGTGTAATATGACCTATATCTGTGTGAACTGCACACCTGTGTCTGTCTATGCAGTCCGACTATCACTTTGAGTACACAGAATGCGACCTACAGGGAGCACGCTGGAGGGTGGCAGTGCCCAACAAACTGGACACGTGCACACGACTACCCGACCCCGTCAAAGGCACCCAATGCAGTGAGTCATACGTTTACAAGCAGAGCATCACTAATTTAGAATATTACAATACTAAACCCATGAGTTTAATATTAAACTAGTGATAAATATTATCGGTCCACACATCTTCTTGGATTTTTATTTTATGTCCTGCAGATCCAGTTTATATTTTATTAATCCAGTAAAGCAAAGTTTGATTGTAGCTGGTCACACACTAGGGAAAGATGTTGTGAATGAAAGTGAATTAAGGATTTCACGGTTGTTTGGTTACATTGTTAAAATTTGTGAATAATTATAAAATGTTTATGTTTCTTCTCCCAATAATTGTCACACTAATATTTGATATATTGACATCTCTAGATGCCAGTATCTCATTGCTATCATATGAATGCAAAAGAGCTGCAAACAACTAAAAACAGATTATTGGCTGGGATGGGCCTAAAGAAAAGCATCTAAATATTCACATCTTCTTAAAACTAAAACTTTGTTATACTGTATGTGCATTCTACACTAATGCATGTATATTTTCTACCAGCAGAAGATACTCAAGATTGATTAAATTGTATTACTTATTCATTGCACCATGTTGTGTATGTATTTCAACTATATGGACCTTGCATCACTGAAGTTTTTTTATTTTATTTTATGTATGTGTGTGTGTGTTGGTGGGTTTATATATGAATGTAGTGTATTGTGGGTGTGTGTCTATCTGTGTACGACTTGGACCCTGAGTCTGTAAATAAAGTTATATATTAATGGGCTGTACCTGTTTTGTTGTAGCCTTTTCTTGCAATGAAGGGGAGTTTCTGGACATGCAGTCTCAACAGTGTCACAAATGCGCCCCTGGGACCTACTCTCTGGGGACTGGAGTGGCATTCGATGAATGGGACTCTTTACCCCATGGCTTTGTGACGCTCCACCAAAACACTAACGAATATGACGACCAAGTCAGCTGTGCAAAGTATGTATTACAGAACTGAAATAAAGTAATGAATGGAATTCTATTCAATATACAAACTGTCAAATTTGCCTGGCAAAGTATCTGTACTTGATATGTTTTATCCTCCCACAGTGAAATTAAAACGTAAGATCCAGACTAACTGTGTCTTCTCATATTTTGAAAACTATACTGAGTATTTAGCACAAATAAGTTGTAAAGAATCATTTTGGGCAATAAATATATACTAGTATATTATTCACGTTTGTGCACCTCTACAATTGATTGTATTTTTTATACGTATACTGTATATACATGTGCATATATAATGTACAATGTATGTGTGCCCATGTTGTTTTCAGTTCGACTTGGACCCCAAAAGGTGAATACATCGCCTCTAACACAGATGAATGCACTGCCACTTTGTCCTATGCTGTGAACCTGAAGAAACCAGGAGTACTGACCTTTGAGTATTTGTACCCCGACAACAACATTTACTTTGAGTTTTTTGTAAGAATAGCACAGTAGTGTATTTAAAAAGCGCTATAATGTCATTTGCACTGAATTGAGTTGAGTTATTATTTTTCTGAAGTTTTCTGCCTGTGTAGGTTCAGAACGACCAGTGCCAGTCCACAAAATCTGACAGCAGTTGGATGAAGGTGTCTGAGAACGACTGGAGCAAACATATGGTTAGTTTGTTAAGTTGTAGTTTGTTAAGTTAGTTGATTCTAATTTCCTCTATATTTAGCAACATGTTCAGAATACAGTAATGCGCAAAAATGTATTATTAAATGAAAAAACAAATCATTTCCAAACTCTTGCATGTATCTTCTGCTTTTTCTAGGTTGATCTGAGCACAGGAAATAATGTGTTGTATTGGAGAACCACAGGCTATTCTCTGAATAGTGACATCAAACCTGTGCTCCTCAAAAACATTGGAATCTCTGGTAAATCTTTAAAATTCGACACGTAGTACAGGAGGTGTCATCACCACTTACAGTATTTTGTCTCTGACTTTACATCTCTCCAGGAGTGTCCTACACATCTGAGTGTTTCCTCTGTAAACCTGGGACGTACAGTGAAAAAGCTGGTGCTGCACGGTGCTCCCCATGTCCGGTGGACTTTTTCTCCACTAAAGGAGCCACAGTCTGTCACCCATGTCAAAATGACACGTACACAGGTACAGAGACAGTATTTCCATTATAAACTAGTTATACAACTTTAATCTGTGTTCTTAAAATGTACGTTAGCAGTATACTTGAAATTTGTGTGTCACCTATGTTATCTTGAATCTTAATGTGTTTGTGATACTGTGCCCTCTGGCTGTTTCCTGTGACTCTGCAGAGGCCGGTTCAGGGACATGCAAACCCAGACCTGCCTGTACCACTAGTGACTACTTCTACACACACACTCCATGTGACACAGAGGGAAAGGTACCTGCCTCAGATGAAATGATATAACTTAAGTTTATGTTGGACTTTTAAAGAAAAGGATTTAGACATGTTGGAAAAGGTTTCAGTTGACCATACACCCATTTTCATGCATTGACAAACACTAATATATGATCTGTTTATTTAAAGATCTTGTGGTGGTGTACATGACATATTTGTCCACCATACCTTACACAATAATAACAACAGTGCCATCAAATTGTCTGTTGCAGCCACCTGTTGTGGATTAGCCTTTTTTGAATATACAGAGTCCACAACTACCCTACTGCAGGTGTCCTTCTCACAAACTGTTTTCTGACCCAGACCCAGCTCATGTATAAGTGGATTGAGCCAAAGATCTGCAGTGAAATTGTAGAGGGCGCTGTTCAGCTGCCTGCATCTGGAGACAAACAAACATGTCCCCCCTGTAACCCAGGATTTTATGCCACCAACTCCTCAATCTGTGAGGCCTGCCCTCAAGGCTTCTACTCCAATGGGACAGGTGCAAAAACAGATTTATTATATTCTTTAAAATATTTCATACAGAAACTTAATTAATAAGAAATACATTTCATTAGGTAATTTTATTTTAACTTTTTTTTTTTTTTTTTTTTTTTTACAGTTTGTGGCAAGTGTCCAGCAGGTACAGAGCCATTGGTTGGTTATGAGTACAAATGGTGGAACACAATTCCCCAAAATATGAAAAGCTCAACTTTCCGCAGAGAGTTCAATGACCCTGAGCGCCACACAGGTTGGAAATGTTAAAATCATCAAGTATTCTTTCTATTGCATTTATTAATTCATAGTTTAAGTAAAAATATTTTCATTTTCATTACAGCTTGGGAAGTAGCGGGGGAATACATCTACACAACTCCTGGAGAAGAGGACACAGATTTCCTCATGCTTACTCTTAATGTCCCTGGATACAGGTGAGGACAGAATAACTTATAGATTCTAATTGATGAAACCCAAGGGATAATGGTGTCAGTATGCATGGCATTTAGAAGAATTTTAGTAAGCCTATATCTTAACAAGTCTGCATGCAGGTTGCCACAGTCTGTCTCCACAAACAGTGAACTCGCTCGGATCACATTTGTCTTTGAGACCAGGTGTACAGCAGACTGCAGGCTTTTCTTCCAATCGGTAAGTAAAAATCTGTTGTTTTGTTTTTTTAGTTAATCCAAAGTAAAATGTGTGCTGATTTGCTGAATTCCTGTTGACTGCAGGGCTATACTCAGTGGAACAGTGAAGTTGTGGAGCAGTGGAAAGGAACCCACAACAAACAGTCCTATTCATTTGTGATTCAAGGAAACAACACCAAGAGCTTCACCTGGGCATTTCAACGCACTCAGGAATTCTCTTTGGTAAGAATAAAGTAAAGAAAGAATATTATAAAGTGATATTTCAAAATATCACATTTAAATTAATTGCAAGTTAAGTGCTAGTTAGGGTAGTAACTAAGTAGTTACTAAGCCTGAAACAATCTAGTATTTGTTCATTATGAATTCAGTCTTCAGTGGTCATGTTTTATTAAGACTATATAAGGGACAGTTATTATAGTGTTACCATGCCAGGACATCTGTGCTGAACTGATTTTCTTATTGTGATTACTTTTAATTAAATTCAATCAAAAAGACTTGACTTGTACAGTACATATACAAGTCATGCACAGGATGGTGACAAACAGTATGTATAAGTTTTACTGTAGTTAGTATGAACACTAGAGGGCACTCTGTCTCTTTGACAGTGTTTTGAAATGTGCTAAAATGTGCCAACATGTTTATATTTTGGTGTTTAGTCTGTTGCTCTAAAATGTAACTCCTCTGTTTTCAGACAAGGAAGTATAGTGCTGACTTTGCCAAGATTTACTCCATCCACATCACTAATGTCATTGGGGGCGTGGCCTCTAAGTGCCGCCACTGCCCTCTGGTTGCATCCCAAACCAATTTGGGCTGTGTCCCCTGTCCCCCTGGACACTACATGGTCGGTGAGACAGGGGTGTGTAAGAGCTGCCCCCCAAATACAATCGTCAGAGCAGAGCAGGCAGTGGGGGAGGCTGCATGTGTGCCCTGTGGACCCAATACCAAGAGGAACAAGGTAAGAGAGAAGTTATTCAAGTTAGTGTTATGAATATGGTTTATACATGTTATTCATTATGTAGGCCCAACAAGCTGATGTTCTGTTTGACCTGATCCGAATCCAAAATAATTATTATTCGGGTAGGGCAAATGCCATAAAATGTATATGCCGAATGAAAAATGCATCTTACATTGAGCAAACCACATGCTTTATTATACTAAAATAATTTGACTTAAGCATTATGTATTTATTATCTATAATCTATTTTTCTTTTTCAGGAATACTCAGCATGTCTCAGTGAATGCCACCTGACTATCCAAAGTCAACAGGGACCATTGCACTACCATTTCTCCGCTCTGTCCAATGTGACCAGTTTTCACAACAAAGCTCGATTCACCGCAAAAGGCTTGAGATATTTCCAACATTTTAACCTGGGGCTGTGTGGTACTGAGGTGAGACACTGCAGTCATGCTTGTATAGGAAAATGTATGATGACTCAGATAAAATTTTAAGTTGGGTATTTCAGGGAAGAGTGCTGGCAACTTGCGTGGACAATGTAACCGAGAGCGGGAAGAAGGAAGTCAAAGGATACATTTGTCAGTCGACCGTGGTTCCCTCCGATATCAGGGGCCAGACTGTAGTGTCTTCCCAGCCAGTTGTCATTGGAGGCACACTAGTTGGTATGTATTTGGTGATCTCTTGTTAACAGGTGGTGAAAGATTCACAAGGGACACAGTATTTAAACAGTGCTAGCTAAGTAAAGATGTCAAGGTTTAAATTCAGATTTCTAAGCAAGCGCAATCAGAGATAGAAACCTGGTCCCCCATGAGGCATCGGTGGGGGCAGTTCATCACCACAGAAGTCAGCTTATGAGGAACCCAGCCCATATTACATGATTGTTATATCCACAATGCAATGTGTGTATCTGTACAATGCCCATGAACATTTGTGTGATATTGGTCACACATGAGAATGTCTGTGCATACTAGTGTGTAACGAAAATATAATTTTTCATGAGTTCCGTATATGTTAGTTCTGTGACTGTAGATCAATGTGTTGTGTATTGCCAGAAAAAGAAGAAATGGAAATTATTTTCATTCCAATTAGAATTTTAACAGCATACACTGAAAGAGAAAGGAACTGTTTTAATTAATGATTACCTCGAAAACTATTAATATTTTACTATACAAATGCATAGAATTATAAATAGATAATAATTTTTCTGAGATTTTGAGACCACTCCCACACTCTCTAGCTCAATCCTTCACGGAGTTATAACCAAAAATGCATATTTGGTTACTATGACCTTCAAGTGACCTTGACCGGTTTCAACCTGTAACATCCAGTGTACTCCAGTTATGTGTGTGCCAACTTGTGTGATGATTGGGTGAATATTTCAGCCTGCAGATGGTTCAGAAATGGTTCAAAATTGCCTATCCTTTATAATGGCATGGCCTTTCAATTGACCCGTGTGACCTCAAATGACCTTGGATCGTCACCAGACTTTATTTTTTGTGGCATCGGGCAGGGGGGCTTGACCCACGTACCAAATTTGGTGACAATCGGTCCATAAATGGTGAAATTATCGCTGGCGGACAGACACACAGACACACACATACGAACACACAGGGTGAATACAAAACTTA